AACACTCTCTGTAGCCTCTTCCCTCAATGAGCCTTGCCACACCTCACAGGTAGACTAATAAACAGGGACATATGATGCCTGCTATCAACACAATGTCTGTGGCATTCAGGGTGTTTTCCTTAACTAAATAAGCTAGCTGTTAGTTGGCTTAGTCCTAATGAAAGTGAAAGTGCTAAAAATATTTTTTAGTAGCTGCAACCCAACTGCCTGTTTTTTTTTTTTTTTGTAATTGAAAGTGTTTTTGACTGTCTTTGCAGGCACTAATGGACTATGCTGGGAGCAGGAATTCTGTGGAACATGGGCTTCCTCTCCTGGAGGTCTACTGCCTGGCCATCAACTGCTTTGCAGCTTCAAGGCCACATCTCACGGCAGACTCTGACACTGTTGCCCTGGTGTTGAAGAGACTAGCACTGTGAGTGAACTCAGAGTAACAAAGTGCTTTAAACTGTTATGGTTGTACCTAGCTGCTTCTTCTTTTGAAACAAAAGCAGTATAATGTTCACCTTTTCTACTGTGTGCTTCAATACATAGCCTTTTTGTTGTTGACATGGCTTCATTGTTTTTTTCTTTGTGCTGCATGTTAGAAATAGATAACATTGTGTCTTGAAGTTTCACAAGTTGTCCTTCATTGTCTCTGTTATTTTGCTTCCAGGAGCTGTTTTGAACTGTTGCTATCTGTGCCTGAAAACGAAATCCCTTATGAGGCCTGGGTTCAATTTCACCGCTCTGTTCAGGTAAAGGATTTGCTGTAAGATGTTAAGAAATAGTAGCTAATGAGAGAGAGAAAGAAGATGGAAGGAAAAAGAATGAGTGGTCGACTGATTGAACTATAGAGAAATGGATGCAGTATAGAGAGGTTTATTTACAATCGCTTGGTGGTAGTATTGACTTGCTGTGTTGATGATGAATGGCAGTGGCCCAAGCAATGTTCTCTGGAGAATACTACATTACACACTGGTGCTGTCTGATAATGTGCCGGGGTTCTTGACCACCTGGGGACTGTTTAATAAGAAGTTGGCAATCCACCAGAGGGGTTTGAGTAAATGTTTTGCATTGAAAGTAAATGTGTTCTGGAAGAAGGGAGTGAAAGCATGAGAGCACATTAGCAGGGGAATTGACAGAAGTTTGCAGTAGTGATTTTTTTATTTCCAATCCATATCTTGATATTGTGAGGGCCTGTCCTATATTACATACTTTATAAGGCCGGGACAATACCAGTATCGCGATACTCGTTAGTATCGTGGCAAGGAAACAAAGCACGAAGCGGATTTTAACTTCTTTAGTAAAACAGCCCTAATGTTAGAAACAAACATGTTGTCATCCAGAGTCACATTTATTTTCCAAGCTATAGCACACAATATTTGATATACAGCATGTTTTTAACGGACCAAAGAGTTTGGTCTGCTTCATGTTTTCATTTTTGCAGCAGAAAAAATATTGCAATATTGGTATTGTCACAGCCCTATTACTTGACCATGCTGTCACTGTTACCTCACGTGACATTTGTGGCACAACCCCTTTGTGTATGTTCTTGCGGGTTTTGCAGGTGGCCCATGATGCCTTGTTGGAGTATGGGAGTATAGACCTTCAAGCCCTGCTCCAGATCACAGGGGAGGGTGGCGCGTGGAGTAACCCTGTCCTAAGTGCCCTTCTCACCGGTCATCCCACAACCGCAGAGGAAGGTCAGTATCACCACCTTACTGTATTGTCAACAGTGCACAAGCAGCAGTGACTGTAATAAACCTCATCTTGTCTATTTGATGTATTTTTAGTATGCGTTTCCAGTCAGCCAATCAACTAGCATTTGTTGCTCTGTCATGTTCCTGTAGTTGACGCGTATATCTCCTTGGAGGGGGAGGGCTTCATGGAGATGCGGGTTAAACACCTGGAGAAAGTGGGGGAGGTGGCGAAGGCTGTGGTACTGGCTAAGGCCTGTGCTGAATGCCATCTTGTCTCCAACCAAACCACCTTCCGCCAGACCTACGTCTCTCTCCTCTGCCAACTGCTGCCGGGCGAGGAGGCCATCATGGAGGTCTGTCAGTGTGTTGTTGTGATAACAGCTTGTTTTTTTTTAGCTCAGCTCCGTTGCATGATTATTCATACTGCTATTTAAATAACTTTCATATAATGATGTTATGAAAGGAAATAAATGTGATGTCTTAGTGAATTTGACAGTGTTGTTAGTTTCAACTCATTTGCCCTTAAAATGTAAGTGATATGGTCCACAATACTGTAGTTACAGTGTTTTCAGAAAGTATTCATACTTCTTGACTTATTCCACATTTTGTTGTTACTGCCTGAATTCAAAATGGATTCAACAGATTTTGTTTTTTCACCCATCCACACACAATACCCCATAATGACATAGTGAAAACATGTTTTTAGAAAATTTTGCAAATGTATCAAATGAAATAACGAATTATCTCATTTACATAAGTATTCACACCCCTGAGTCAATACATGTTAGAATCACCTTTGGCAGCGACTACAGCTGTGAGTCTTTCTGGGTAAGTCTCTAAGTGCTTTGCACACCTGGATTGTACAATATTTGCAGTAATTAGTAACTTCACCATGCTCAAAGGGATATTCAATGTCAGCTTTTGAAATGTTTTACACATCTACCAATAGGTGCACTTTGCGAGGCATTGGAAAACCTCCCTGGTCTTTGTGGTTGAATCTGTGTTTGAAATTCACTGCTCGATGAGAAACCTTACAGATAATTGTATGTGTGGGGTACAGAGATGATGTAGTCATTTAAAAATAATGTTAAACACTCATTGCACACAGGAGTCCATGCAACTTATTATGTGACTTGTTAAGCACATTTTAACTCCTGAACTTATTTAGGCAAGCCATAACAAAGGGGTTGAATACTTATTGACTCAAGACATTTCAGCTTTTCGTTTTGAATTAATTTGTTAAAATTTCCAGAAACGTTGACATTATGGGGTATTGCGTGTAGGCCAGTGACACATCTCAATTCAATCCATTTAAAATTCAGACTGTAACACAAAATGTGGAAAAAAAGTCAAGTGGTGTGTATACTTTCTGAAGGCCACAGAGTTGGCCTTTATTTGTTATTTTAATTTTTTATCCCGCAGATATCCAGACTGGACTGTAAGGATGTGCTGGATATTACATGCAATTTGGAGACCGAGGGAGAGGATAACACGGCCTTCATCCTGTGTACTACCTTCCTAACTCAGCAGCTGCAGCAGCAGAGCCTGTACTGCTCCTGGTGAGTTTTCAGTGGTCAATGTCAAGAGTTGGGCAAACCATATGGATATATTGAAATTCTTATTTCTGGGCTGGTGTGTGATTTTGGGGTCTTGTTCCAATGTTGTATTTTTCTATGCTGCTTCATCTTTTCTGTCTTTTAGGGAGCTCACACTGTTGTGGAGTAAGCTGCAGAGAAGGATCGACCCATCTTTGGAATCACTGCTGGAGCGTTGCCTGCAGCTTGGTGCCATTGCTAAGACTGTCTACCATCTGCTCTTCCTTGTGCGTGTCATCCGGACAGAGGTAGGAGAATACAGACTTTTCTCCCTCCTGATTTTGATATGTCATTGCAATATAAAGTTTTGACTTATTTTTTTTGAAATATCAGTTACAATTTCCCAAAATGTAAAGTAACTGCCCAGTGTTTCCAGATTTCTATGAAATATGACCTATAATTACTTACAATATGAGTGAAATCGTTTTACTTCTAATTTTTTTTAAAATTATGTTAAAAAACAGATTTTCTGTGTTAGAATGTTGTAGGTGTACCCCAACAACAGAATGGTGTGGGCGTATAGACGGGTAGGTTGTTTAGCAACAAAAGCGACGTGTGCGCAACTGGGGCAAAACGGACGGGTTGGCTTAGACTGTTGACAACATGTAAACTATATTTAGTCTTCAAATGTTTAATGAAAACATAAATACATTTGCACAATGAGCACTTGTTGTCTCTGAAATACTTTGTTACAATTGTTGGTTAGCAAGCTAGCGAGTTTGAGCCATATTAGCATAAACATGACAGTCAAAACACCTCCAAACAAGACATGGTATCAATAACAAGATACAACATGCTGAAACAAGCCACCTGCAATTCCCCACAAGGCAGATTCTTGTCATTGTTGCTAAACATCTGAATGTTCAGAATCATAACAACGCACGCCTTCTGGCCACATCAATGCGCGTGCATCATTTTCATGACGTTGTCAGCCAACCTGTCTATACTGGTCATTAAATATTCATGCAAGTAGACCGCTGATTTGCCAGCTCAATCCTCCTCAGGGAGATGACATCATGTTCTATGAGGAAATGGCAAGCATTTTTGAAACGGTCTGTTTGAGATACTGTTTGAGGTTCGGTTTTTGAAGTGGTTTTTTTCTCCAATTTATACTTTGGCCACATAAGAGTATAGGACCAGTCAACAATATTATTTGGATATGAGTTAACAGAATATAAACTTTTAAAAGTGGGCAGTTACTTTAAATGGTAGGCCACTGTCACACCATTGGGAAAAAACGATCTCCTCTTGTTTCTTTTACAGGCAGAGGAGCTGGGTCTGGCTTCATCTGTGGAGTTATGTGTTAAAGCACTACAGCTCCCAAAGCAAGAGGACACAGAAACGAGGATATCTGTGTGCAATACTGTATCCTGCCTCCTACCAGACGATCTTGAGGTGTTGCGGGCCTGCCAGCTGACAGAGTTTCTCTTAGGCCTCTCTCATGTGGCCTTCAGCTCTCTTCAAGAGCTCTATCTGCGGCCCGATCAGAAGTATGACCAGGAAAACGCCATCATCCCCAACTCCCTTCGGTGTGAACTGCTCCTGGCACTTAAAGCCCACTGGCCTTTCGACCCTGAATTCTGGGACTGGAAGACACTCAAGCATCAGTGCATCATGCTGCTGGGGCTTGAACCTGAGCCAGAGGAGGAGGAGAAAGAGGGGGGGACAGGAAGAGGTTAGTCTTGAGCAGGATATAAAGGAAGAGGTGGAGAAGGGATTTGTTGATATGCCAAGAGAATACGTAAATGGGACAAGTGGTAGCATTGATGGTCATTATGAAGAAAATGAGAGGGACAGTAAACCACCTTCAAAGCCAGATGCTGAGGGTGCCTCGGAGCAGGGCTCACTGCAGAAGAAATACAAGTTCTTCTGCAAGATTTGTAAGAAATCTGTTACTGAGACTCGAATCCTTCTTCACTCTAAGAGGCATGAAGAAAACGGTATTTCCACCTGCCCTGTCTGCCTGAAGAAGTTTAAGAGCAGAAAAGATTTTATCCCACACACCAAACTACACCTTCAAATGCCATCCAGAAGCACTCGACAGAAGAAAAAGGACAAAAAGAGGATTGATTTGGATAAAGAAATGGAGGAGGACGACCTGGATGACTTGGAGCCTGGTGAGATTGCCCTTGATCCATCCTTAATGCTGTACTACCAGTCCACACATGATCCTGATGTTCTGGAGCACATTTTAGAGCAAGCTTCATCTGCACCCAGGAAGCCTGGTCATGAGGATAACGTCACATTTGATTACATTAACGTTCATTTTGAATTGCAGAATCGTGACATATACACATGCCCTGCCGCTCACTGTACAAAGACTTTTAAGCATTCCAAGTACCTGGGTGTGCACCTTAAATCAGAGGACCATGTTGGGGACGAGAACGTGAAACATTATTTTGAAATGAGAGACCGTAGGGAAAAGTGCACTTACTGCCGGCGCCACTTCATGTCTGCCTATCACCACCGCAGGCATCGGCGTGTGCACTACGGTGACCTGCCTTACATGTGTATGGTCACAGGTTGTGGCGCTCGTTTCAGCACCTCCAATGAGCTTGTCGCACACAAGCAGAGCCATGGCTTTCAACTTAGCTACCAGTGTGAGCTCAAAGGTTGTAGTCTTTCTTTCTGTGACTTGGGGCAGGTATACCACCATGAAGCACAGCACTTTCGTGACGCAGCATACAGCTGCACTAGCCTTGATTGCAAGAAGTTCTACTTTTCTAAAAAGGAATTCGGCCGGCATTTAGCCACACACGGCATTACCTTCTCTGAGGAAGACTTTGAGGCACAGAGGAAGGCCAAAAGAAAACATCTTGACTCCATAACTGAGGAGATAGCCAGCCCCAAAAAGTATTGTGACACAAAGACTGTACTGGAGGAGGTAGTCAATGGGGAAAACAATGCTGCTTCCTCTACATGCAGTGCCTCACACATGTCGAGTTGCAAGGAGCCCAAGGGCACAATGGCATCTGTTGCTGTGTGCTTTGATGGAAAAAAGTTCACTTGTGGTTTTGAAAGGTGTGGATTGACCTTCTCTAAAGCCAGAGATGTCCACCAGCACCTAAGGTGTGTTCATCCAGAACATTTCAAGACTGAGAATAAGGAACGCAAAAATCTTGTCAAAGAGAAGGGCTTGAAATCTAAAGGTCTAAAGGTAAAAACAGAGCACAACAACGATGACAAGAACAAACATGAACTTGCAGCTTGTCTGCTAATGAAGGGGTCAAGCCAGGAAAATGCTTGCCCATCTATTAAGAACACAGCAATATCTCCCTCAAGCCTGGACAATGACCCTTTGAGAGAGATTTTGATTGGGCTTAGCCAGCTTAGTTTGACTCTCTCCAGCTCTACAAATGGATATTGTGAGCCCTTCCATCCAATCTCAGGATCCACATCAAAGATATCCTGCCATCAGGGTCTTGGCACCAGGTCCCCAGTTGTGTTTTTGCAAAAGAGAGCGCCACCTGCTGTTGGCAAGAGGGTGAAACTGACATCAACCACTGAACCATCAGTACCCCACAGTCTACCCTCAGAGCAACACTTGGATGCAGACCAGGTCAGCCCTTTTGTTTTGCAAGCCTCTACTAAACCATACTTCTGTGAGCTTAATGATTGCAACTTTAGAAGTGTGACCAGCACAACTCTAATACGCCACTACATGAACAAGCATAATTTCTCAGAGAAGAAGGCGAAAGGAATGAAGATCCTCAAATCACTTACATTTAAGCCATTTAAGTGTCACCTCTGCTTCAAATGCCATAGAGAGAAGACGGACTTGAGGGTTCATTATCTTCAGACGCATAGACTTAGCGAGGCAGTTGTGGAGCAAATGAGCTGTTGGTCTAAAAAGCGGGTTGAGGGTAAACCCCCAGAACCCACCAAGCCAACAGTCTCTATAACACAACCCCCAGAACCCACCAAGCCAACAGTCGCCTTTACACAGCCCCCAGAACACACCAAGCCAACAGTCTCCTTTACACAGCCCCCAGAACACACCAAGCCAACAGTCTCCTTTACAGAACCCACCAAGCCAAGAGACTCCTTTACACAAAAATCTCAGACCTCCACCTGGCAACACCCCTCCTGGCAGCAGAAGTACCAAAAAAAGAAAATAATGCGACAAAACATTGTACAATTTGCTAAATCTGGAGACAAGCATAAGAAATGCAGTCACCCTCCATCTTCTGTGCAGGATCACTTTGAAGAGGAGGAACGTGAAGACGGAGGTATGCGAAGAGGCAAGGGCGGCATTTATACGTGCAAGCACAAGGACTGTGGGGTGCTTTTCTCCCACGCCTCCAGTCTTTATCGCCACCAGAAGAAGTTTCATTCGCCGGTGATGGGACATCCTTCCGTGCTTTCAGAAGACCCGGCTTTACAGAAGTTTAGGTGCAGCTACGCCAACTGTAATGCTTCTTACCTCCTGAACAGCAGCTTGGTGCGACACACAGAGAGTGAGCATCCTAACCAGGCGACCAGTAGCTTAAAGCGTCACAGAAAGAGTGATCATCCTAACCAGGCGACCAGTAGCCTAAAGCGCCACAGAAAGAGTGATCAGGCAACCAGTAGCCTAAACAGTCACCGAAAGAGTGACCAGGCGACCAGTAGCCTAAAGCGCCACAGAAAGAGTGATCAGGCAACCAGTAGCCTAAACAGTCACAGAAAGAGTAATCAACCTTACCAGGCGACCTTGTGCTGCAAGTATGACGGCTGTACACAAGTGTTCACCCAAAGCAGTAGTCTGAAAAAACATGTACTCTCTAGCCACCTCAATTACTATGATTCACTCGTATTACGTCTCCAGAATACTCACAAGGACACGTCAGCCACTGGATGCCAAAAGAAGCTGATCATCACATCTACGCCACAGAAAGATGCAACCAAGCTACCCCTCCGGCAATCTCTGAGACACTGCCCGAAGTCTCCTGAAGATGTTAAGGCTGAAGAAACTAGTGAAGAGAGAGATGAAGATGATGGTGAACATGTGTCAACTGAAAAGAAATCCAGAAGGTTTGAAGATATGGTATTCCGTTCCCATGAGGAGGCCTTACAGATGTGCCAAGATCGTTGTCAACGTGAAGCCTACCCATGCATGGTGCAAGGTTGTGATTCTGTAGTCAAATTTATACGTAGTATGCGCCGTCACTATTTGAATTGCCACAAATTAACCAATCAGGCTTTTGAATTGAATGAGGATAAGCTTGTGTTTAGTGCAGAGAAACTGGATGAGCTGATTCAGAGGAATACTGTATTATCTGCTTGCCCTGATATGACGAGGGCACCTAACGGAGTTCTGAAGATGGAGTATCAAGCAGAGCCAGAGAACCCAGGTGGTCCATCTGTCCCTATGAGTCTGCACTCCATTGAAGCAGAAACACTTGATGAGCATGACCCACTGGGGTTCAAAGATGAGCCACCTGCTGAGAGGAATGTTTTGGTGGGTGCAGATGACTTGCTTTATGGAGAACCTAGTGGGCACACTGAAGAGCCTGCTATTCAGAACAGCCAAGAGGAGAGGCCAAGGCGAAAATCCTCAAACCCGCCCGCTCTTGATCTCTCTCCACCATCCTCCCTCCGATTCAGTGTTGATGAGGGCTTCATGGACAGTTCAGGCAAAGATGGTGGCAAACCCACAATAATTTCTGTGCCATTGCCCTCTCCTCAAGCCCGCCAGCCACTTAAACGTAAGAACGAGCTCTCTGAGCTCCCTCCCATTCCAAAGGACCCCCAGCCTCACAGCCCTCCCCCTCGCACATTTGACTTGGCTACTTATAAACCTATGGGATTCGAGTCGTCTTTCCTGAAGTTCATACAGGAGAGCACTAAGGATGATGTGAGGCCCCGGGCTTCTCACTGCAACAGCCACAGGCCTGAACCGCCCGTGGTGTCAGCTCGGCGGCGGGATTCCTACAGACGTAACTGTTCTGTAAAGGAGAACAGCCAGATGGGCCTCACTACTACTCGTAGCAGGCGGGCTCGATCTTCCCCACTTCAGCCTCTTCCCAGGACAGGGGAATACACATCAGTCCAGAACTTGCGCCTCATCTTAGAAAAGGCTCTGACAGGTTGTGGTGACCTAGCCATTAAGCAGTTGCAGTACCTCAGGCCCGTGGTGGTTCTTGAGAGGCCAATGTTTTCCACCCCCTTGCTTGACCTCTTCCCCACGAAAACTAATGATAAGCTACTTCTCGAAGGTTCGTAGAACTGAGTACCTTTGTGTCCAATATAAAGACTATCCCAGTGTTTTTTTCCCTAATGTAATTACTACTCTGATATTATCAGTATCTTTTAAGTTGCCAAACTGATTAGCTCAAGTACCTTAATTGACATACAACAGATACATGTGTAAAACGATCCTTCCCCTGATTTTTTAAAAACCTCTTTAGAGTATTTGTATTACATTTCTGTCAGGTGATGAACGTTCTAATGTATATATGCGTCTTATCACTACACAATGAAGTTTTATAAAACATTTTCGAATATTATTTAGAAGAACGTTGTAGCTCATTGTACCATTTCAATGCTATTAATTTGTTTGAAAATAGCTTTCATGGGACAGAAACATCTCATTTGCCCACTAATAACTTGAGGAAAAATGTTGTCCCCTCTGAATATCAAGACACATTTCTTTTTTTTTCAATGCAGTGGGCAGACGTGTAATGCTTTATAAGAATAATAAATGTTTGAATAGGCCCTTTCAAAAATATTAAATTGCATTGTGTATCTTTATTTTCCTTGTCATGCATTTACATTGATTAGCCTTTAAACTCTTCAGGGAACTAGTCAGTATTTCTTATAAAAGTGACATAGTGGACTATATTTTCACTATCTATGAAAATATACCCATTTTACATTATAGAGTGGCTTAGCTCCTGTTCGCCCATTGCATTTTCAATTCTACTGATGGTTTTCTCACAAAGGAAAAAAGTGTTTATACAACGAGTGTGCCCACTCTGGTAGTGGCATGTATGCTCTAGCAAACATTGTGCAGGTAAAGTACTGTATCTGCCTGCTGTTGGCTAGCGTGCACGTATAGCCTACATGGTGAGATTATTAACAAAATATCAAGATTATTTTTCTTTGTCAAACGGCAGCAAAGCATCAATGAACCAGAATAAGACCCTCTATTTATTGGAAATGAGCATCAAGCTCATCACCTTGCACTTTCACCACCCTGTGAAGTTCATAATCATTTATTTAATCTGTCTGCATGTTTTCCCGACAAGTCGTAGTGGGAGGACCACACATGTCATCGCGATACTCCCAAGTTTTCTTCGATATGATGGTTATTATATCAATATTTGCACATAAAAGCGTATCCACTGACTTTTCTTGCATAATTAATTTTATCGACACAAAAAAGATCCCACCTAGTCTAGCGTAGTTGGGTTTTGTCCACATTTGGAAAGTTGACCGACAATGTCTGTTTCCATCAGGCCTGTCGTGGCATTTTTTTATCCGACAGGTACTTTACTTACATAAAAAGGTTGGATGAAAACCTAGTTTGACATTTCAGATTTAGGTATGATCATTTTTCACTAAGTAGTTTGGTTGTAGTGAAGTACACTGAACAAAAATATAAACGCAACATGTAAAGTGTTGGTTTCATGAGCTGAAATAAAAGATCCCAGAGATGTGGTCCTCTGTAGCTCAGCTGGTAGAGCACGGCGCTTGTAACGCCAAGGTAGTGGGTTCGATCCCTGGGACCACCCATACACAAAAATGTATGCACGCATGACTGTAAGTCGCTTTGGATAAAAGCGTCTGCTAAATGGCATATTATATTATTATTATACGCACAAAAAGCCTATTTCTCTCATTTTGTGCACACATTTGTTTACATCCCTGTTAATGAGCAAGTTTTCTTTGCCAAAATAATCCATCCACCTGACAGGTGTGGCATATCAAGAAGCTGATTAAACAGTATGATCATTACACAGGTGCACTTTGTGCTGGGGGGAATAAAAGGCCACTAAAATGTGCAGTTTTGTCACACAACACAATGCCACAGATGTCTCAAATTTTGAGGGAACATGTCTGTAATAAAGCCCTTTTGTGGGGAAAAACGTATTGTGATTGGCTGGGCCAGGCCCACCCATGGCTGCACACCTGCCCAGTCATGTGAAATCCATAGGTTAGTGCCTAATTTATTTATTTCAATTGACTGATTTCCTTATATGAACTGTAACTCAGTAAAATATTTGAAATTGTTGCATTTATATTTTGTTCAGTACACTTGTTCAAAATAACTTTAAGTAAACGATACGTTTCTTAAGGATAGCTTTAGTGTAGCTAAACATCTTCCAGTGTGAAGTAATTGGTAGCTTGTTAAACTATGTTTTCAGAGTATCTTCCCCATCACTGGTTAGAACGTGTTAGGTGCAGGACCAAAACAGCGGAGAAGTTGAGCCTTGCGCTTCAACGCTCTTAGTTGTTGTAGAAATTGAACTATGGTGTTTATTTTCTGCATCTACGTCATATCGCTGAGACTACCTTTTAAGATATATTTAATTTATTTTAAATAAAAAGGCATATAAGTAGTATTATAAACTGTTCATTATTCAATGGTTTTAAATGTGCAATGATCCGTTTGCAATAACGTGCAGTCATCATTTGGGAAGAAAATAAAAAACGATCATTTCAATCAATGTATTTTTAACTGTTTATTGCAGATTTATGAACTTAGCTAAACTTCTAAACCGCTTAATATGATAAGGAATAAGACGGGTGTATTTAATGATTGACAAGTTGTGGAGTTCAAAACCAAGGGCTACATTTATTAGTTGATTATACTGAAAATCAATGACCGGTTTCACTGGGGTTGGGAAAAATGTCTGATTGCAAAATAGGAGAAGATAGATGGTGGTTGTTCAAGTCAGACAGCCAACCCAAAGACACTGACAATACAGTACGTGGTTTTATTCTCCCATCTCACGGTACAGCTTCCTGGAAGAGAAACGGAAACACAGATTGTGATAGTTCACGTTCCAACATTCTACAGTTTATGAAAAACCATTGCGGGCCTCTGCTATTCCTTCGCTTTGTAGACACTGTCTGCAAAACATTGTTACATTGCTTACCGTCCATAGTGTTGTCCCAGAAGCAAGAGCTGGCAGTATGCAGACCTGCTCCATTTTTCTGCAGTATGATGCAAGTCACTAATGATGAACACAGTGAAAATGTGTAAATCATTACCTGATTTTGTTGGGTCCTTTCATTGCCATACTTTTACATTTTACAACTGTAATGGACACAACATAACAAGAGGTGTTACCTATGTATTTAAAGGGTTTTCCCAGTTTGGACAGTTGGTTCAGACTTGTCTCCACCACACTGGATGTCCATTGGTTAATTCGATTTTGTTGATAGGCACTGCTTCCAATAGTTGTCTCCACAGTCTAAGTATTTATTTCAGTTAACACTGACATGTCAATCACCACTTGTTTAGGAAATTGCAAATACATTTTATGATTGTAGTAATATCAGAAATTGCACAAATACTTACATCTTTTATGATTGTAGTTATATCATCAACGACAAATGCAGTCTGAAAAGGGAGCGGAAATATAAATTGATCTAGCTAGGAAAGTAACATTTTCATTATGACATTTGGTGTTTTTGTCCCTGGTTTTATTTCCCCACATACAGGAGATAGCCACATTATTTTTCTTAGAGGTCAGCTGATCTGGCCCACTCAAATAATAGACGTAACATCACAGCAACATAATGTAGTCTATGTAATACAATGTAACAATATACCGATGCATGAACCATGCAGCTGGGGAAGAGAACTCAAATGTTTCCCCAAGATAATTTGATGTAGCGTTTTTTCTTTAAACCTACCTCTTCAGAGGATTGAAATTCGTCCATGGTGCTGTGGTGCACGAAAGTTTTAGATGGTTGCTATAGGGACCTCCAAACAAATCTGTCAATGTCAAATCACGGGGACCTGAATCTGTGCAACAGAAATGTTTAGATTATTTGGTTTCAAGTTTAGGCAATTATTGCCGCCTATAGTGTCGGTTGGATTTTATTTTCAATACCCATTTCTTTATTTTATGTATATGCCATATCCCGAATATTCTGAAAAAGAGGACGTTTTAAGATGTCAGATATTTGAATGTATTTATTTCCGGATAACAGGCCTTAAACACAAATGTGTGGACGTGATGTAAAGAAAAACCCCATTCAATGAAAATAATGGCTGGAATGTTGTGGAGAAAGACGCCTAATTAGGCCCTGTCATAATTATCTGCAGCGTTTGTGACGTCATGCATATATAATTACTAGAATGTAATTTTAGATGCTAGAATGTCGACCAATTTTATGGAAATTCAATTGCGCCAGAACACGTTTTATCAGTGCATTTCATCCATCTAGCCAATTCAAATGTCAAAACATTGATTGAAATGGATTGGAGGAGCTGAACCCCAATCATCAGTGTTCCAGGATGCGTTGTGCATTAATGACAGGCTTTACTGGCAGCAACAGAGTCAGACATGCAACTTTCAATACGGTTATCTCGTCGCCGCAGACTGTCTTTGAAGGATGGAAATGCTTGACAGCTTTATTTGTGGCTGCTCTCTCCTACCTGTGCTACATCTACTGGGACAGAATAGAGCTTGCTTCACAGGTAAGTGTGGTCCTGACTCCTGTCTAATCCATCATCATCACCCACAGCACAGACGACAATTCAATGTCTATTCATCGTTGGTTCAACGTAATTTCCTTGAAATTACGTGGAAACAACATTGATTCAACCAGTGTGTGCCCAGTGGGCATCACCACCTCCATCAGAGTGGCAGTTGCTATATTTAATCAAAATGCACTACCATTAGTGAATGATTTAGCGGTCAAATGATCATGAAATGAGGCCACAAACTCCTTTGCTGTAACCAAATATCAGATTCAGCCTCTCATAATTCCATGTCCATGTTTTGTCCATTGATAGTTATGTGTTAATTTCAAATGTAGTAATTATAATTTTATAGGCTACTGATGTATTACATTCTCAACGTTTTCATTAAGGCTGCCTGGAGTTGGGTGACCAAATATCCAGCTAGCTGGAAGAACTCAGGGGAGAAGGTGGAGCAGCAAAGGTCCAGAAAAAGGCTTCAAAGCCCTCTGCTGATCAAAGTCAAGCGGCTGGAATTGAAAGTGACTGCTATGAAGAGAACCTTGATGAAGCATTGTTCACATCGAACCTCCCCATCTTGTACCTCCCTACACTGCTCTCAACACGTTCTTCAGACCAAGGGCCCTGTACACACCAACAGCTCTTCAGACTGGGAGAGTGCTGCATAGGCCATAAAGATAACATGGACTCCACTCCAAAGGAGACATTTTAATGATTATTTCATTGACCCTGCTGTTTAGACTGTGCAGGACACCTATGTGTATACAGAATTGCATTGGCATGAGAAAACACTTGTTTTCTAAATATATTTTCTTTCAATAATATCTCTGCTGTCTCTTTCATTCTTGGAATAACAAAATGATTAGTAATCGGTCATACAGCCATACTTCAACAAGTAAATCTGCTAAATCTCAAATTGCTTAAAATCAATGCCTTCCCACAGGAGATTATTACTGATGATCTGTAATGTTCATAGCATGGAAGTAAACCCAAAATAGGCTTACCTACTCAGTTTACTTTGTTTATCTAGCTCATGATCATGTTACTTTCCAAATTACTTTGTTTTCAATCATTTTACATTCATGGTATTATTGTATAAATATTTTTATATAAATGTATTTATTAGCATGTGTAAAGTAAGAAGATATAATTTCATCACAACACCATTAATTGCTTTAATAATACACTTCTCCCCCCCTCCCCATGAGTTGCATATACACATGTACAGTACCAAAAAAAGGTACAGCAATGCATACAGGCAAAGAATCAGACAAACAAAAAATGTAAGTTAATATATAAACATGTCACTCATTATTATTAGGACTATTTCGCTAGCACAGACTGGAATATGTTCTGGGATTCATCCGATGGCATTGAGGAGTATACCACATCAGTCACCGGCTTCATTAATAAGTGCATCGACAACGTCGTCCCCACAGTGACTGTACATACATATCCCAACAGGAAGCCATGGATTACAGGCAACATCCGCACTGAGCTAAAGGCTAGAGGTGCTGCTTTCAAGGAGTGGGACACCAATCCGGACGCTTATAAGAAATCCAGCTACGCCCACTGACGAACCACCAAACAGGCAAAGCGTCAATACAGGACTAAAATTGAATCCTACTACACTGGCTCTGACACTCGTCGGATGTGGCAGGGCTTGCAAACTATCACAGATTACAAAGGGAAACCCAGCCGCAAGCTGCCCAGTGATGCGAGCCTACCAGACCAACTAAATGTCTTCTATGCTCGCTTTGAGGCAACCAACAGTGAACCATGCATGAGAGTACCAGCTGATCCGGATGACTGTGTGATCACGGTCTCCGTAGCCGATGTGAGTAAGACCTTTAAACAGGTTAACATTCACAAGGCCGCAGGGAAGACGGGTTACCAGGACGCATACTCAGAGCATGCGCTGACCAGCTGGCAATTGTCTTCACTGACATTTTAGTTTAGTTTTTTTGTTTGTATTTTACCCTATTTTTCGATCTTGTCTCATCACTGCAACTCCCCAACGGGCTCGGGAGGCGAAGGTCGAGTCATGCGTCTTCCAAAACATGACCCGCCAAACCGCACTTCTTAACACCTACCCGCTTAACCCGGAAGCCAGCCGCACCAATGTGTCGGAGGAAACACCATTAACCTGACGACCAAGGTCAGCCTGCAGGTGCGCCACAATGAGTCACCAGAGCGTGATGAGCCAAGTATAGCCCCCCTGGCCAAACCCTCCCCTAACCTGGACGACGCTGGGCCAATTGTGCGCCGCCCTATTGGACTCCCGATCACGGCCGGTTGTGATACAGCCCGGGATCGAACCCGGGTCTGTAGTGATGCCTCTAGCACTGCGATGCAGTGCCTTAGACCGCTGCGCCACTCGGGAGACCCTGCACTGACATTTTCAATCTCTCTCTGACCCTGTTTCAAGCAGACCACCATAGTCCCTGTGCCCAATAATGCCAAGGTAACCTGCCTAAATGACTACCGCCCCGTAGCACTCACATCTATAGCCATGAAATGCTTTCAAAGGCTGGTCATGGCTCACATCAACACCATCATCTCAGAAACCCTGGACCCACTCCAATTTCCATACCTCCCCAACAGATCCACAGATGACACAGTCTCTATTAAACTCCACACTGCCCTTTCCCACCTGGACAAAAGGAACACCTACATGAGAATGCTGTTCATTGACTATAACTCAGAATTCAACACCATAGTGCCCTCCAAGCTCATCACTAAGCTAAGGACCATGGGACGGAACATCTCTCTCTGCAACTGGATCCTGGACTTCCTGATGGACTGCCCCCAGGTTGTGAGGGTAGGCAACAACACATCCGCCACACTGACCCTCAACACGGGGGCCCCTCAGGGGTGCGTGCTTAGTCCCCTCCAACACCATCATTAAGTTTACAGAGGACACTACAGTGGTAAGCCTGATCAACGACAATGATGAGACAGCCTATAGGGAGAGGTCAGAGACCTGGCAGTGTGGTGCCAGGACAACAACCTCTCAATCAACGTGAGAGACAAAGGCGCTGATCGTGGACTACAGGAAAAGGTGGGCTGAGCATGCCCCCATTCACATCTACGGGGCTTTAGTGGAGCGGGTCGAGAGCTTCAAGTTCCTTGGTGTCCACATCACTAAGGACCTATCATGGTCTAAACACACCAAGACAGTTGTGAAGAGGGCACGGCAATGCCTATTCCCCCTCAGGAGGCTGAAAAGATTTGGCATGGGACCTCAGATCCTCAAAAAGTTCTACAGCTGCACCATCGAGAGCATAAAATCAAATCAAATCAAATTGTATTTATCACATGCGCCGAATACAACAAATAGACCTTACAGTGAAATGCTTACTTACAAGCCCTTAACCAACAATGCAGTTTTAAGAAAGAATACCAAAAGAAATCACACAAAAATACAATATAAAATAATACGAAATAAAAGTAACAAATAATTAAAGAGCAGCGGTAAAAATAACAATAGCGAGGCTATATACAGGGGGTACCGGTACAGAGTCAATGTGCGGGGGCACCGGTTAATCTAGGTAATTGGGGTAATATGTACCGGTACCAGGCGGTACCAGGCGGTGTCAGAGGAAGGCCCTAAAAATTGTCAAAGACTTGTCAAAGACTCCAGCCACCCTAGTCATAGACTGTTCTCTCTGCTACCGCACGGCAAGCGGTACCGGAGTGCCAAGTCTAGGTCCAAGAGGCTCCTTAACAGCTTCTACACCCAAGCCATAAGACTGCTGAACGGTTAATCAAATGGCTACCTGGACTATTTTCATTGACCCCCTAATTTGAGTCTAATTTATTCGTATTTTTTGCACTGACTCTCTTGCACAGGCTCGATGTATAGTCACTGGACTCTAACCACAAACTCACACATTCTACACTGACACTCCAACACACACACACAAACACACACACACACACACACACACACACAAAATACACACACATGCATATTGAGGAGTATTTCTGTCTGTAATATAGTCACTGTAAATTCCCTTTTGTGGGGAAAAACTAATTATGTTTGGCTGGGCCTGGCTCCCCAGTGGGTGGGCCTATGCCCTCCCAGGCCCACCCATGGCTGCCCCCTGCCCAGTCATGTGAAATCCATAGGTTTAGGGCCTATTTAATTCATTTCAATTGTCTGATTTCCTCATATGAACTGTAACTCAGTAAAATCTTTGAAATTGTTGCATGTTGCGTTTATATTTTTATTCAGTATATTTTGAGAGATAATATCGTGAGCATGGAACCTTCGTTATTCAGACAACTGGTTTATTTTCACGGGGAACATAATTAATTGCTGCACTGACATTTAGCATGGTAACATTTATTGGATACCAACCACCGTTAAACCTTATCGAAGAAGAACATTTAGCATGAATGGAAACTTGATGCGAGTGGTTTGGTGAATGCTAGTCAATTTAAACTGTGGATATAAACATTACTAAGTTATTTAAATATAAAACATATTATCTTCTGAATAAAGACTGGAAGGCGTGTGAATAACGGGCGGCAGTCCAACTAGCAACACATGCTAGCGAGCTAGCTTGCTAACTTCAAATAGAGACCAAGGCCAGAATAAAGATGGAAACAATACTTGACCTTCCAATCGAAAATAAGATATTTTATGCTGTTCTGTTGTTCTCATGGACGGTGTATCTATGGGAGGCCTACCTTGCCTACAGACAGGTAATTGTTTACTTTGTTTCGTAACTGTCTCTGTGTCAATAACACAAGGCTTTCTTTACTGCATTTCACAGCAGGCTAGCTAGCCGCATGCTGACTATTCATTATTGTTTGTCTCAATATTTTCACAAGAACAAAGTTGTTTTCGGGAGTGACGTCATCTTTGTACTGGGCAATTCCATGGTAACAGAATTACGCTGAGACTCAGATTTGTCACTCAAGAATGTATTCCAAACAAAAATCATTGATTTCAAAGTTTAACAAACCATACAACTATATCCACAAGGACTGATTTTAACGATTTCCACTGACATTTTTTACAGGAACACATTTACAGTAAGAACTTTGTGCATACACAGTTTGGTAACAGAATAAAACAGAGGGAGATGTTACCGTAATTCTGTTACCAAACTTTGCATCTGCACAGTTTTTCCAGTATTTTAATTTTTTTTTTTAATTTACTGCGTAAATTGTTTAAAGTAGTCATTGTGCATAGAGTTGTATGGTTTGTTAAACTTTGAAGTCAATGGTTTTTGTTTGGCGTAATTCCGTAAACGTGGAATTGCCCAACTGCAACTCAAGACTCCACTAATCATTCTGTAACATGGAAATTGCCTTTTTGATTAGCTATATTGAATAGAAAAAATATTATGTTTAAGTGTCTCTTCTAACCACCCAGCGGAGGATATACAGGTTGACCATGCACGTACCACAAGAGTTGGGAAAGATCATGGACACAGAAACCTTTGAGAAGTCACGTCTTTATCAGCTGGACAAGAGCAACTTCAGTTTCTGGTCTGGACTGTATTCAGAAACTGAGGGGACGGTGGGTACAACTAAAATATCCATTGGTTTGTTAGGACCTACTTTGTTATATTACAATCTAGTTGTCTGCCTCTATCTGCTGACATAGAGTATCACCTCACACAGAGGGAATTTTCTTTTTTCTCCGATATAACACTGCTGTGTTCTCTCATAGCTGATCCTGCTATTTGGCGGAATCCCTTTCCTTTGGGAAGTTGCAGGGACAGTGATTGCTAGTTTTGGATTGGGTCCAGAGTATGAGGTGTGTGTGCATGGTCCATGGTTAAAATTGGCAGTCCAATATTACAAATGTTTTGGCAATTTTCTTGAATCATTCCAAGGCTCTATCTTTTTCTTTTAGATCTTTCAGTCTCTTTCATTTCTGATGCTAGCAACCCTGTTCAGTGCATTCACTGGCCTTCCCTGGAGTATCTACAACACCTTTGTCATTGAGGAGAAGCACGGCTTCAACCAGCAGGTAGACTGTCAACTCTGAGCACATTCTTATTATACAGTTTCCTAGTTTGAATCATTACACTTTTTTTCACTGGCATGGTTTCAAGCACCTAGTTTATTAGTTTTTGTTGTCGTCTATGGTCCTCCTTCCAGACACTGGGGTTCTTCCTGAAGGATGCTGTGAAGAAGTTTATTGTGACCCAGTGTATCTTGTTGCCAGTGACCTCACTGCTCCTCTACATCATCAAGATTGGTGGAGACTTCTTCTTCATCTACGCCTGGCTCTTCACACTGGGGGTCTCGCTTGTCAGTCCTTTCACCTCATAACTGCCTGGATGGGAATATTCAAACAACAGTTGTTTATGCTCCGGGGAGGAATTAAATGGAGCTAAACTAATATCCAATATATCTTAATACATTACAAATGAATTTCTTTCTGGTCCTTCCTTCTCTCTCTTAGGTTCTGGTGACCATCTATGCGGACTACATTGCGCCCCTATTTGACAAATTCACCCCTTTGCCAGAGGGTGAGCTGAAGGAAGAGATTGAAAGCATGTCGAAGTCTATCAGTTTCCCTCTCACTAAGGTCTATGTTGTAGAAGGTAATGCACAGTACATAAACTCAATAACTCATTTTGTCCCAAAGATGTAACACCTTAGACTGTATCTATAATGGGTGGTCCTCTGTAGCTCAGCTGGTAGAGCACGGCGCTTGTAACGCCAAGGTAGTGGGTTCGATCCCCGGGACCACCCATACACAAAAAAAATGTATGCACGCATGACTGTAAGTCGCTTTGGATAAAAGCGTCTGCTAAATGGCATATTATATTATATTATAATTGTTTAACGTCAGAGGAGAGCAAGGCATATTGCAGCTTGACCCTGTCTCAACTGTATGTGTGGTGATTTGTGGGGGTTGAAAACAGCAGAAACACCTTTCCGATGTTCGCTGTTACTTATGGACTATAAAGTTGGATTGTAATGATCCATTTTGACCTACTCTTCCAGGTTCCAAGCGTTCCTCTCACAGTAACGCTTACTTCTATGGGTTCTTCAAGAACAAGCGCATAGTATTGTTCGACACCCTGCTGGAGGACTACTCCCCCCTCAACAAGGACGGAGAGCCAGAGACTGACACACCAACCGAGGACAAATCCAAGCTCAAGGTCAGACTTACTCCGTTACACAGAGAACTGGGTGTCAACATGTTATAAATCTAAAATATTGAAAGAAGTTTCAGGAAGGCAACTTGATTCCCGTCAAATATATTTATTGCTGAAGCATTTCGAAGCAAGCTTCTTCTTCAAAGGTCTCCAGTATTACTGAGCACCACTTCAGCGATAGACAATTTCTGTAGTCTTGGTTAGAGCACCGCCAGCACACTACAACTTTCTTGTTATAAATCACATTTTTTGAGGTGGTCTTATTTGTTGAGGTGGTCCTATCATAGAAACATAATATGGTGTACTAGAAGTTGTAGTCAATGTTTCATGCATAATTCTTTAAAATCAAACAATTTATTTTTCCAGAACAAGAAGCAAGGCTGCAACAATCCAGAGGTCTTGGCGGTGTTGGGCCACGAGCTGGGCCATTGGAAGTTGGGCCACACCGTGAAAAACATTGTCATCAGTCAGGTTTGTTTGGAAATTCCCTTGATATGCATCTGCACATCACCTCTATACCAATAGGCCACTTTCATGTTGATGCAGAAATGTAATTGATACAATTTTCTCCCCTGCCTCTGTCCTTGCAGATTAACTCCTTCCTGTGCTTCTTCCTCTTTGCTGTACTAATTGGACGGAAGGAGCTGTTCATGGCCTTTGGTTTCTATAACATCCAGCCCACTTTGATTGGGTTGATGATCATATTCCAGTTCATCTTCTCCCCATACAATGAGGTGAGTGACTCCATCTCCTAAACAATGCATTTACACTGAGTGTACAAAACATTAAGAACATCTTCCTAATACTGAGTTGCACCACCTTCTGCCCTCAGAACAGCCTCGATTCGTCAGGGCATGGACTCTACAAGGTGTCGAAAGCGTTCCACAGGGATGCTGGCCCATGATGACTCCAATGTTTCCCACAGTTGTCAAGTTGGCTGGATGTCCTTTGGGTGGTGGACCATTCTTGATACACACAGAAAACTGTTGAGCGTGAAAACCCGGTGCGCCTGTCACCTACAATCATACCACGTTCAAAGGCACTTAAATATTTTGTCTTGCCCATTCACCCTCTGAATGGCACACATACGCAATCCATGTCTCAAGGCTTAAAAATCCTTCTTTAACCTGTCTCCTCCCCTTCATCTACACTTATTTGAAGTGGATTTAACAAGTGACATCAATAAGGGATCATAGCTTTCACCTGGATTCACCTGGTCAGTCTGTCATGGAAAGAGCAGGTGTTCTTAATGTTTTGTACACTCAGTGTATATCTGACCTCTTACACTTCAGTGGAGGCCTTAGCTGTTGACCCTGCAAGTGCTGTGGCAGCTATTCTCATTAAGTCCAGTGCTTGTTTGGCGAAAATACCTTGCGCATACTAGTAGTAAATATTGGTCAAAGAAATATACAGCTAAAGATAAAATATATTTCTTAAGTCAGTATTTCTTAAGTCCGCTTTAAACAGAAAGTGTTGTTGAGATGGCGATGCGCAGATGAGTACCTCCTGCACTTCACTGAGGAAAACTGACATTTCTCCACTTCTTACCTCCAGGTCCTGTCCTTCTGTCTGACTGTCCTGAGCCGCAGGTTTGAGTTCCAGGCGGACTCCTTTGCGCGGGGCATGGGTCGAGCCTCAGAGCTCTACTCCGCCCTCATCAAGCTCAACAAAGACAACCTGGGCTTCCCCGTGGCCGACTGGCTCTTCTCCATGTGGCACTACTCCCACCCTCCCCTTCTGGAGCGCCTACGGGCCCTGGGAGGTACCAAGCAGGACTGATGGGCCCCAAAAGGAGAGCCACGCCTGCTGTCTCTCCTCAAGGGGCTCCGCAGGCCTCTTCTGGCACTTAAATGTAGTCTCCCCTATTTTTCTCTTTGTTTGCCTATTTTTGTTCTTTATCCTCGCCATTAGGTTCCTTTTTTCCCAGTTTCAAACTTGCACAATACCAAAGGTTTTAAGAAATCTAGTGTGAGACAAGAAGATCTCTCGGCTATGCTTATTCTAGGTGTAATGGAGTTAAGAACGTACCATAAGCTCATGCCACAGCTAGCTTGAAATGTCGCCGATGGAGTTATCGAATTATATATTTTTCCGATAGCTCAAACGGTTGGTACGTTGTCAAGGAGGGCGGTCACGTGTGCTAGCCAGGTATAGGTCCTGAGTTCGAGCTCAGTGCGAGCCGAATCACGAGGAACCGGTACTTACTAAGCAAGCAGCGTGGCGTCCTTAACATAGGCAAACATGAACATACAAATGTCTTACACGAGACCATTGTGGGCATAAATAATTACCCCAACATTTTAGTTTAAGGACTTGCCACTAGTACAGGTCACATTTATCAAGGATTTCTCATTATATTTCAGCAAGGTTTAAAAATGTTTTACTCAAAGTTTTATTTGAATTTTATTTACTCCCCTGAGAATTTGTCCTTCCAAATGTTTTCTCATAAACCTCAAAATGTACTGTAGTGTAACTATGGGGGGGTTTGAGAAAGGAAATGTGCTCCCCTATTATCAAGAGTGTCAACAGGATGTACAGTGAATGGGCCATCAATTTATTATTAGTATATCCTTTTGCCTAGGCTGGTCGATTGGCTCTATCTACAACTGTTTATTATGAGAGGTGAACGCTAGAACTAAAAGATAAACACCTTTTCATATTTAGTCAAGACTATGCTTGAGATGGATCATTGTTGAAGTTATACAGGTAACTACCAAAGTAATGGAAACACTTGAGTAAATGAGGGCTACAAAGTATATTGAAAGCAGGTGCTTCCACACAGGTGTGGTTCCTGAGTGAATTAAGCAATTAACAACCCATCATGCTTAGGGTCATGTATAAAAATGCTGGGCAGGCCATTATTTTGGCTACCATGACTATGCCCCCATAGGATGACAATGCCCCTATCCACTCAGTGGTCAAATTTACATTTACATTTACATTTAAGTCATTTAGCAGACGCTCTTATCCAGAGCGACTTACAAATTGGTGCATTCACCCTATAGCCAGTGGGTTAACCACTTTACAACAAATAGTTTTTTTGTTGTTTTTTTTCAAACAGTAACACAATGAAATAATGAGGCTTTATATACAGGAGTCAATGTGCGGGGGTACAGGTTAGTCAAGGTAATATGTACATGTAGGTATGGGTAAAGTGACTATGCATGGATAATAAACAGCGAGTATCAGCAGCGTAAAAAAGGGGGTCAATGCAAATAGTCCGGGTAGCCATTTGATCAACTGTTCAGCAGTCTTATGGCATGGGTGTAGAAGCAGTTAAGGAGCCTTTTGGACCTAGACTTGGCTTGATGAGCATGAAAACTATGTAAACCATATGCCATGGCCGTCTCAGTCACCAGATCTCAACCCAATTGAACACTTGTGGCAGATTCTGGAGCAGCGCCTGAGACAGCGTTTTCCACCACCATCAACATAACACTAAATGATGGAATTTCTTGTGGAAGAAGGGTGTCGCATCCTTCCAATAGAGTTCCTGACACTTGTAGATTCTATGTCAAGGTGAATTGAAGCTGTTCTGGCTCGTGGTGGCCCAACACCCTATTAAGACACTTTATGTTGGTGTTTCCTTTTATTTTGGCAGTTACCTGTCTTAAGGTGCCTGTGACTTCCCAGGGATCTGCCACTTGTGATAGTTTTTAAGTAACGCTTGGGCCAATGATGGACCAAAGGAATTCTCAATTTAGGTTACATTTCCTCATTTCTTTTTACAACACTTTCTGTTTTTTAATGCACTTGTGTGTAAACAACGGTCTGACCATACTGTACTTGTAAATCATTGATTAGTGATTAGCTTAATGGCAAAGGGAGAAAAAAAGTGAATGCATTTGTAATATTTGAATGTGGTTTGGAATCTTCTGTTAATGTGTTATTGTTTTGTTTCTTCTCTTATGGTGCCTGTGTGTGTGAGGTGGGATAGTGAGAGTGGGGTGGGAAAGCTACATCACATAAATCAAGTGTTTGGTTTGATATCGAAGGACATACTTTTCTTGCAGCATTGTGAATAAAGTCCCTCACAGCAGCTGTCTTTTCCTATTTGTGTCTCAACCTTTGCAATGGTTATGGTAGTGAGAGTCACATATAGTGACATGCACTACTGCACTAACTGTGATATGGCCCATTTGTACAGTCATATCGCTACCAACCTGGTCTCAGAGCCTTTCGTATTATTGTGTACGTATATTCGAGACGTTCCATTTAGTATGATATGTTACGTTTCGTATGTATTCATTTGTTGATTTCGCATGATATGTTACGAATTACAATTCTTACTATATGTTACGAATTTGCAAACCGTCTGATATGTTACGAATTCTAGCTAGATGGCTAACGTTAGGGGTTACATTTAGGAGTAAGGGGAAGGGTTAGCCGTGATGATTTGAACTCACAACTTTTGGGTTGCTAGATGTCCGCGTTATACGCCCACCCATCCACCCCGAACCAACCATCTTACTTTCGTTTTTGCCTTATGTAACCATCTGTCTCATGTAACCATACCAAACATAACATATAATACTAATGAGAGTGCTGTAACCATACCAAACATAACATATCATACTAATGAGAGTGCTAGATTTACATTTACTATGTTACGTCTAGTCTATGAGACCAGGCTGTCAAATCACAGGGTACATATTTTAGCCCAATATCTGGTATAGCATAGTAGATTATGGCCATCAAAGCAATAATTATGCCTACACATAGTAAGCATAGCCTGCATAGGGGACCAATTACAGTAAATTACAGACCACATAATCTCATTACTGACTTTAAAGTGGCAATCAGCAGCTGAAACAATAACAAAGCGTTCTCGATCCCCACACCTCTTTCGGTTAAAAGCTGAGGGATGGGGCTGGATGAATGTAACCACTCAAATTCATAGACAGCGCTATGGGTGCAAGGACTGACCATACATGATATTACAATTATAGTTTTAACCATGTTTTGAAGCTATATAGTGTTACATGTACTTTGTTTACAAACATTGGAATTAAACAAATTTACGTTTTGGGTTCTGATGCGGTACAACAGTTGAACTAAGCTCATGAGGCATTTATAAATTACTCAATGGGTATATCATTAATATACTTAAGGCCAAAAATTGCTGTAGCAGCTGCTGATTGCCCTTTTAACTGACCACTTTTTACAGCATAAGACAAACATTTTGTTTTCACACTGTGCCTCTAAAGTGTGATACTTGGATTGTTGGCCATGGAAAATGCCAGTTACCCACACGATTTACCACTGGGTAAAGAGTCATGCATGGCTTTCCTGCTTATTTTTAGATGACTGAACTTGTATAATAGTAGGCTATAAATTGAATCGCTTTATTCAAAATATTGTAACGACCCGGTATTGTGTACGTGGGTGTGTTATTGTTCTCATTGGTGCTAGCAGGGGTTAAATAAGCCAGGACAGACGGAAAGGTTGGTGGGGTATGATGGGTAATCCCGCGGGGTTTTGAAATGCATAAGTAGGGGTTACTGTCTCATCTCTCTCTCTTCTGTTCGGGACCCTTAATTTGACATGTTATATTTGTGTACGTTCGGAATTTAGCGGCGTGCGCTGTGGCCTGAACAATAGCCCAATTTAGGAATAAACCTGTGTTCTGCCCTGTACACCTGGTGGCCGTCTTTTTTTCCCTTTATGACCCAGCTGGGTTATTACAATATAAAAATGTCATTTTGAAATGTCAAATAGTTGTGGTGTAGGCCTACTGTGTATTTGCCAAGATGCATTTGTGGTCATCAAAGCCATTATTTAGCGGAAGTGCTCACAGGTTGGAGTAGACGAATGCGATCAACAAAAGGCCACACCAGACGCCAGTACGTAGTGCACGCATATCAAACGGTCTATCCATAGGGGTGTCATCACAAAGGCAGAGACACACCGAAGGGGTTTACTCCGCTCTAAAAGTGAGGAATTGTTGTATGGAGGTCAATGAGACAGTGTCGAATTTGGTCAACAAAATATGTAATTGCTAATTTGCTACGTGAGGCTTATTTGATCGAATATAAGTTTAGTAATGGTTAGGTTGTTACGAATGCACGTATATGTAGACGCACGTGGCATTTTGGCAACTTTTACAAAAAGTTGTTCACACGCTTATCTGCCCTCTCATTGGCCAAAATGGTCCCACCTGATCCTGCGTCATTCAGCCTGCCATCCATCTTTGAGGACATGTATTTCCATTGTTAGAGCGGTCAGTCGACTATCTTGTCAATATACTAAAATATCTTTGGTGTCATACTGTCCGCTATGAAACCGTACCATTACGCATAGGGGTGGACGTATTTTCAAATAGCATTTTTGTTGTTTTGAAAAGCTGATCATCATTCATTAAAACGTGCTTACTGATAAAAACCCATTCACTTTTCACAGATGGTCATCTATTTAGCTGTATCTTATTGATCCTTTATAGAAAAATAATAAGGGCTCAGCTCATTCTCATCCACAAACACCCCCATTGTAGATAATGGTTAGGCCCTGATTTGGTTTATTTTGGTAGACAAGGGCAAATGGTCCAGTTAAAGTTGTTTTTGGGACGAAATGGCAAGGTTTTTGAGAGCTAACGTTAGGAGTCTCCTCACCACACAGCTAAGGATGGCATCTGACCAGGTAAAAAGGCACCACATATGATTAGACCACCACGTTTCGCTGCTAATACAGTCTAAAGTTACAATGAAACGAGTGGTATTCAATTGTCAAGTGATTTCGCTATGGCCTTCGACTATTTGTAATGCTCTTGTTATTATCTATTCTAATGTTGCAATGTTTAGCTGGTATTTGGAACGTTCTTATACAAATTGTAGCAAACGACTATACTGACGCCCGTTCTATGAAGCGAAATAGCTTTGTAAGCAGCTCAATATATCAAGTTAGTTGAAAGCCAAGTAAACATTTTTCGAGAAAGATACACCTCGGTCTAATGTGTGTATGGAATTTGGTTGAATGCATCCATCTATGAATGGTTATTGAAGCAAGTCTCTGATGCTACAGTTGTTGCACACAATGGTCAGAGTTTTTTTTTAAAGCCATTGTTGACATTCTCTGGTAAATTCTGTTGGTATTTTCAGTCAACATTAAAGGGGGAAGTTTTTCATTGGGACATGAAAATCAGTGTATGAATGATTTGAGGCTACATAGCCTAACCTTTCGCAATGAATGACATAATAGATTACAGTGTTCCACGTGCAAAAAGCTCCCTACTTCAATACGTGCTTTAGCTAATTCAGCTGCATGTCATGTGACACAATTCATGAGGATAACCAATAGAGATGTACAGAGGACTCAACTTGGAAATAACCTGTTTTAGCATGGACATTGCCATTGAGGGCTTCCACCATTTTAAAGTAGTAAACTGGACTGAGATTTCTATGGTTTGGGTGCAATCAGCCATGATCAGAGCATTGTCTTCTTTAAATTGGGTGCTATGGTTTGTAAATGGCTTTACCACCACCATCTAGTGGCCACAACAAATGAATGACACGATTTGGTTCAGGACTCCAGCATTGCAGCTGGCAGTAAATCACCAATATTAGCTTTACACTTTTTTCAAACATAGAAAGATAATTGACTACATTAAAATGGAGGTAGCCTCATTGGCGCTGCCCATGCTGTCAGACGCCATAATGGCACAGATGCAAAGATGATACCTCTTTCCATCTCTGTGATAACCCTTTACTTCTATATACTGTATGCTGATAACAGCCTAGCCTTTACCATTGTAAAACGAAAGCTTTATGCAATGTGGAGGTCATAGTTTTTTTTCTCTAACAAAAGTTGTGTATAACACAACATACCAATCTCATACATGTTTCTTTGTAGGAGTATCTTGTTATTCTTATATGTTCACCTGTTGATTCATCTTCATGTACCAGCTGGGTGAGTTGGGCAAAGGTGCAGGGAAAGGAGGAGGTGGCGGAGGATCTGTCAGAGAGGCAGGAGGAGCCCTCGGAAAGAAACAGGCAGCAGAGGAGGAAATGTACTTCAGGTGAGTTGGGACTTACAGTATACTGTACGTCCAATAGGTGGTAGACTTATTTGGTTGCCAAAATTGACACGGTATATTTACTTATAGAGGCTTTGTGGCAGTCTGCCGGGCCTGTATTCATACTGTGTGTCCTCAATGTACCTCACACTTTCCTATCTCCCTCTACAGACGTAAAGAGCAGGAACAGTTGGCTGCACTAAAGCAGCATCACCAAGAGGAGATTGACCACCACAAGAAGGAGATTTCGAGGCTGCAGAGTGAGATTGACCGTCACAAGGGAAAAATTAGGAAATTGAAGCATGATGACTGAGACTCACTCCATTAGAATAAAGGCCAGGGATTCACTATTGCCAAACCCTAGTCATTGCCTGCACTGTCTCTCTGAGCAGCTCTGTGTATGTGTGATTGATTGTTCTGTATATGCTTGAGGGTATTAAACATTTATTTGAAATGGTTATTGTTTTGTCATGGTTATTGCTTTCAATTATTATTTGTGCTAAGATGATGATTTGAGATGTGGGGTGCCATTATGGCGGATGATTGTTTGCCACATTACAGAAGGATGAGTAGAGTTAGTGTAGCTGTACTGTCTAAATGGATTCCGGCAATATGGACGGCAAAGAGAAAACGAAATATGGTGGTATGTCTTTTATTGAAAGTCATCCCATGAATTGGTGTCAGTACCCAACTCTCCTTTTTGTCAATGCCATAACATCCTCCATTGACGAAACAATCATGCAACATTGCTAATTAAAGGTGATACCATCACCAGCTATTACCATCAGGCCGCCGATACAGATTAATTTGTATGTCGCTCTGGATAAGAGCGTCTGCTAAATTACGTAAATGTAATGTAAATGATACAGATCCCATGTACACAAAACCGCCAGAGCCCAGAAATAATTTGCCCCCCCCCCCCATGAACTGTAGCTTAGCCCATGAACCACATCCACATGTTGTAATATTGTTTGTGATTTTCATTGTTGTGTTGATGCTGGGCTGTTGAGATGCAAGACACATTTCCTGAAAGGGACAACAATAGTTATGTTAATAAGGAGTCATGAAAGAGATGCTTGTTGTGGAGTATTATACATTTGAGACGTGTCTATTTCTGATATTTCCATGCATCTAACCCATTGACTGTATGGAGTTTTTCGAAACAGATAACGAGGGTCCATTTCATGTCTAGGGAGAGACAGAAATTAGCTATGTTTTCTGTAATCCTTACTCTGTCCAGAGGGTGGCAATTAGCACATTGTACACTGCGTATAAATCCCGTAAAGAAGAATGAACATTTTCGTCATTTCCTCTAAAAGTGTGGCTCCGCCTAGAAACCCCTGTCTTTTACAGCGGGCCAACCCGTCTGTCTTTCTTTTCGCACATCATGGCGGACCGGTTCAATAAGGTGTGTAATAGCGCAAGAACCAACATCTCTATATTTGTAAATAATACATCCATATAGATGAATTTTACTCCGGAACAGGAGTAAATGATTGCTGTGTATTTTAAGTGAATACTAGTGGAGATCATTTCGTAGCATTTGTCGCATTATTTGACACATCCAGGATGTCATGTGTTGGCCAACGCTATTTAGCGTTGCCTTCATTTAGCTATCTAGCTAACTCAGACTAGGCTGGATAGCTAGCTACGTTAGTTACAAAAACCCTTCAGAATAAATCCCTGGTTCCTTGGCATTTTTGGTGAAGTGTTAAGATCAAATGCGTCTAGTTGACTTTAAAGATTTCTCCATTAACACTGAATTTAACTAGCTAGGTATAGAACATTAGTTGGGTAAGCTGCAGGCCACGTTTGCGCGAGTTAATGTTTAGACCCAGTTAAAAGAGAATCCTCTCATTCCTATAATTTAAAGCGTTATACAACACTGTGAACAATATTTTTTGTGAAAAACGTTTCATTTTGTCGTGAAGGTTGGTAGCAACATGTGGAAATCTGTTGCAGCTGAACTCGGCTACAACCCCCACAATGCAATGCTCTTTATGGGCTACCTAGCAAACGTAGCTACCCACAATAATACCCAAGTCATTATCAGCATGTGGAGTAGTTAGCTGTAAAATCGCCGATATTCGCAACGGCGCCATGCATTGCACCCTGGACTGAAAAGGCAAACAAATGGGAGAAATGTGTTAGACCCTGTATTAATAAAATTGTGTTGGTCACATACACATTTAGCAGATGTTATTGTGGTGTAGCGAAATGCGTGTATAAATTAGACATTTCTCGCGGTAGGAATGTAACACATATGATCAATGGTGAAATCTGACATGTATGACAGACGTTTTAATCTAAAAGTCGTATTCCTATTAACTTTCAGTTTAGTGAGCGGCTTTATCTCAATGTTACGTCATACAGGCCGAATTTCTCCCTTCTTGATAGAAAACCGCCCAGAGATGCACAAAAACAATACACCCATTTTGAATGTTTTATCTTTACTTTAAGGCTCTGGTCGTTTTTGCTAGCCAGATGTGGCCATGTTGGCCCTAACCCGTAGCCAAAATGTATTTATCCAAGTTCATTTGTTTTGCTTGTCAGTTTAACGACCATGAATAATGTGTATGCACTACACCTGAGACTTAGGCAACTTTGAATAATTTGAACCCCCAGGTGGTGGGCAACTATTCTCAATTACTTGATGTGCTTCTTGCCTTTCCAGGTTCTGCTGCTTGATGGCAGAGGCCATCTACTTGGTCGTCTTGCTGCCATTGTGGCGAAGCAAGTTCTGCTTGGTGAGTCTGTCATGTTGTGATAAATTAATACCCATCCCCTGACTTGAATCATTATCCAATCCAAGAATTTCATGTCACTTGATGTGTAATTGCAACTTGATTTGGACCTAGTTTTGGTTGACTAACTTGCTACAACTGTCAGTGATGCTTTTTAACCTACATTGCTTGAGTAACTACAATGATAACTCACATTACCATCTGAGACAGTGGATATTTTACAATGGGCCTGTGTACTTGGCTATATTTCAATATGTAAGTCAGGATTTATCCCCTTTCAGGCCACAAGGTGGTAGTTGTGAGATGTGAGGGTATCAACATCTCTGGAAACTTCTACCGTAACAAATGTAAGTTATTGACACTTTTTGTATATATTCAGGTTAACCTCTGGTGTAAGGATTCAGATGTCCTACCTTTGATTCATAGTAACTATTTTGAGCTAAATCTTAAGCTTTGCTTGTTGTCAGTGATGTTTACCACAGTAAATATTCGAGTTTAACGACCATGAGATTACTTTACATGCACTACCATCTGAGACATAAAGCAACATGGTATGACCGGAGATGTGAAATTGTGGCTGTGGTGAAACGGTTTAGACACTGGCGTAGCTTGAGAATGTATTGCACCTGTCTTTATAAATAGTGAAGTACCTGGCTTTCCTGCGTAAGAGGATGAACACCAACCCCTCACGTGGACCATATCACTTCAGAGCGCCCAGCAGAATATTCTGGAGGACCGTAAGGGGTAAGATCACAACCCCTTATTTTGAACAGGGATTTTTTTTGCACTCCAATTTTGGCTGTTTTTCAGCTCCCTGTCTTACTAGTCCAGTGGTTTGCTTGGACCTAACCTTTATGGACATTGATTTAAATGGTCCATTTTGGGTTGATTCAGTGACATGAAGTATGCACATTCTGAACTCCACCTTGCACAGCATATGGTTCCTACTTGACTGTGATGAACACTTATCCCGAAGCTGATCATTTTGATGAGACAAACTTTCGGATCTGACTGCTGAGTTTAGTCAGGGCCACGATGTTGTGCTGAGGTCTGTTATTAACAGTCATGGGGAAGTTTCTGCACATTTGAGTTTCATGCCTATTTCATATTCACAATCAAAAATTGGCATGGAACCTAAAGTGTGCGACACTATCTACATAGTATTGTGATTTTCTTGGCTTCCCTTATGCTACAGAATATTGCCTATCCTATGTGGGGTGACCTAATTGCCTAGTAACATCCTAACTTTGTTGATTCCGTTGGAACCCAACAGGCATGCTCCCTCACAAAACCAAGAGAGGACAGGCTGCACTGGAGAGGCTGAAGGTGTTTGATGGTGTCCCCCCTCCTTATGACAAAGTGAGTGTTTCAATCATCCAACAGAACTCTGATCTTGTGCTGTCGGCGATGCTACTTATTCATACCTACATTGTTTGAGTATTGACTTTGAGAATAACCCTGAATCTGAGACGCAAATGTCTTCCCCTTTTGATGGACTTGCAGTTGCTTTTGTAGCTGATGTTTATTTTGTTCCACAGAGGAAGCGCATGGTCGTACCTGCTGCCCTGAAGATTGTCCGTCTGAAGCCCACTCGCAAGGTAAGCCTAAATCAGTTTAGCATATAACACCACTGAATTGATAAACTCTTCATTGACTAGTAGGTAGCTGTATTTGTCATAAGTTGCAGGCCGCACAGTAGTTGCGCTAATGTTTAGCCACATCATTCTTGCTAGCCAGACATTGGCCAAAATCTATTTAGCCACGTACCCATCTTTGCTTATTGTCAGTGATGTTTACCACAGTAAGTATTCGAGTTTAACGACCATGAGAATACTTTACATGCACTACCATCTGAGACTCAAGCAACATCCAAAGAATAATTTGAACCCCAAGTAGTGGAAACTATTATCTTATGACCTTAAATGGGTTGTGGGCCAAATGATTGATTTGTGACACCTATTGTTTCTCCTTTGTGTGAACCTGCCTTCCCCAGTTCGCCCTCCTCGGGCGTCTGGCCCACGAGGTTGGCTGGAAGTACCAGGCCATAACAGCCACCTTGGAGGAGAAGAGGAAGGAGAAGGCCAAGATCCGGTATGCCAAGAAAAAGACCGTGACCAAGCTGTCAAAGCTGGCAGAGAAGAACGTGGAGAGCAAGATTTCAAAGTACACTGCTGTCCTGAAACAATATGGGGTCCTTGTCTGAGCTGGTTCGTGGTGGCCAATAAAGATAAATAAATGTTTATAGAAAGTTTGACTCGCTTGATTTGTTGTTTTGGTGTGTTTGAGTTGCATGATGTTGAGAAGGAAATGTAACTAGAGTCATGAATCTTGAGATGTAGCTCTACAGCTAGAGATGAACAGTATTGCTTCTAATCAGTTAGAACAAAATGGAAGCACGCCTAGAGGAAATGCTGTTTAAATGTACAATTGGAGCAACATCCTGATTGGAAATTTTTCAAGAAAACGGACCAATTTTGCGTTTGACATGATTCTTTGTTAGTGCTAAATGCGTTAATCATTTAACAATATATTTATATGGCGTCAATCCTGTTCAACGCCTTGTGAAATGCTGTTGGAAACCCCGTGGATCAAATGCGCGCGCGCGGCTGGCAGGGTCGCGAGGAAGGGGCGTGAACGAGCGTACCAGCGGACATTCTCCGATGTGCAAACCCAAATAAACAAGAATCACAATTCTCGGAAGAGTTTTGTTCACATTTGGCGTATTGTGACAATTTTAACGTTTTTTTAAATACTGGGATTTGTGGAGCGGTAAGTGCTTCCTGGTTTTGTTCTTGATCGGGAAGGATTAGATAAATGGGCTGTTGATATTGCGATACTGTAGCAACTAACGTTAGCAAGAGCGATAGGCCCCGGTGTTGGACATTTAGTTAATCATGGGGGAAAAACACTAAATCAAATGGAATATAATCCCTGCCTTTTGATTGAGTTTAACTAATATATTTTAATTGCATATGTACCGGTATTATTGTAAGCGAATTGCCAATTATGCTAGTCGAGGGGGGCGGGTCGGCTTGGCTTTGTGTACTACAGACGAGCCCACGTCCCAGACATACCAGCCAGACATGCATCGTGCAACCCAGCCAGTAGTAGTAAGATATACCTCCCACATGCTAAATATATTTCAAACGACTGGCTAGCTACTCGTCGCACTTTTCAATGAACTAACGTTATTGTAATATCGTGCTAGAATTTCATAGATTAAAGTGCATTTCTGTTAGCAATCTAGCACGTGAATGGTGTATTACTTCATACCTGTAATATGGCGCGCGAAAAAGAATCCAGGCGGCTGTCTGGTCGATACTGCCACTCATTTTTGTGTGTTTGGTTTTACTGTATGCAATCTTTATTTTTTATTAACAAATCAATACAAAGGTACATGGGGGAAACAATTATACATAGAGTATTCAATGGACAGTTGGGCTAGGGGGTCAAATAATACATCACATTACACTGGCACTTAACTCCTGCTTGGTTGGCTCCAATGATGTGTAAGGCCTGGATTGCGGATGCAATATAATAGCCAATGAGAGGCTTTGAAGCCACGGGTTGCCATATTGGTTTCAAGGACAACATTACATGTATTTAAGTATTTGTTTGTTGTAGTGGGGACAGTAACATTTGTACTTCCTAAAAATAATACTTTAATGACATGCTCTGGAACTTTGGCGACTAAGTATTTTTTAAACCTGCTTTGGGCTGGATGCGTCAATGTGTACATGATGTACATTCATACATGCATAATCTATGAGCAGAATTACTGTTTTACCTCAATAGCGGAGGAGCGTAAAGATGGTGGCCCCCATGCACTTGCCACAAATTCCTGGGTTTTGCTAAATTAGCAGGATTGTACATAGCTCTCCGTTGCACTTTTTTTGTATGGTCATTAGCAGAGTATACATGATTCCAATTTTAGCTTCAAGATGCCAGCAAAAAAAAACACGTAGATTGTTCTGATTTATTGGCACATTGAACCATATCGTGCGCAGTAGTTTAAAAACCCAGTGGATAGTGCTAAAACAATGGGCTTGTTCGACTGACTAATCTACAAATAACCTTGCATCATAAATAACTACTCATTATTATTTGTAGGTCAGTCAGTCACAATTTACCCATGATACATTACACTTTTGATCCTCTCGAACACGGCCAATGACGTCATATCTGAATTCTGCCATCTTTATGCATGTTCCCCATTAGCCACGAAATCCCTAGTTTTTTAAGTGACTGTTTTTCTGGAAGCTGTGCTATGCCGTTTCCCTACATTTCCCCCCACATGGGCCAGCCCCCTTGCAATTAGAGTTCTAGCCAATGAGCTTCAGCCCCACGCCATTTGAGTGGCATCTAGCAAGATGCACACACATCAGAGCGAGAGAGAGAGCGCAATGGCGTGGTGCACATATGTGATGTAGTACACCAGTTAGGGGACCACTTTTGGCTCGTGAGTGCTACTTTCAGAACTACTGACTAAAAAGTAACCTACACAAAAGTACAGGAGAATCTCTTTAAGGAATATGTTTTTTTATTTTATATGTTTTATTTTAATGTTTAGTTCACATAATATAATTTAAAAGTATGCATTAAGCTGTCTGTAATATAATATAATTAGCAAAAAACGAATGTAGACATTAATAAATGCATTTTATAGCTTCCAAAATCGATTTAAAAAAAAAAAAAATTTTTACAATGGAGGTGTACCAAAATGGCTGCTTGGTGGCTTCAATACAGTGCCCCCTGTCAGACATCATTGGTTGGCTCAGTAACAATGCTCTGTAGATAGATAGCCAGCTAGCTAGCTAACTTACCAAGCTGAACTTTCCGTAATTCTATTATTCCCATTAAAAAATGTATCCACTGAATTTCTGTCGACATAGGCTTGATCATTCATTCCCTGCTGTGGATAGTTATTGGGCTCTTGCACGACAATGACATTAGCTAGCTAATGTTAGGTCAGGTGGCAATGGCAAATGAATAGGCCTACTTTATTGCATCACAGTTGCATTTTACCCAATATCTAACATGTTCATATCCATAATTGGGCAGTAAATAGTATTCTACTCATTGTAGAGTAGCTAGTATAGTATTATTATGTCTTACATATTGTTTGAGAATTAATGCGCAGCATAGATGATGTATAGGCCTACTCCTTCATGTGGCGTCTAGTCGCATCCATGATCCCCTGGTATCTCTTTTGATTCACATCATTTGGCCCTAAGGAGAATGGCAGCTGAGGTGAATGGCAGTTCCGCTCCGGTTAAGGAGGAAGACGAGCCCATGGACATAACTGTAACACACACAGAGAACTACCAGACACTCATAGACGCAGGCCTTCCACAGAAAGTGGCGGAGAGCCTGGATAATATATTTCAGACTGGTAAGTGCAAGGGGGGGGGTGTTCACAGTACTTCTTGATTGCATTGCATGATATTGTATATTTGTATATCTGCAAGCTCAAGAAGACTGTATCAACCAAAGGATTCCACCTTGGTCAGTGGTCATATGATGTAAGTCACGTTGAGTGAAGGGGTCAGTGAGCATTGAGCTCATAGCTGTGTAATGGTGGCATGCAAAGAGTGCCCTCTCCCCCGGGCGAGGACATTATTATGTTTCAGTGACTCTCACCAGGAATGTATGCCTTAGATGTGACCCTATAAATAAAACGGTGGCTGCGGATCCGACTTTTCCTGAACCTTTCTTCCCGACAACTAAAGGTCAGAGAGGGCCTGCGCATGTGCACGATTCTCCCAGATGATTTCTTATGTAGCCGCTGCCCCCTCCTTCCTCTCTGCGGTGATGATCGGACATCTTTGCCTGGTGTCGTCTACAAACTTCGACATGTTGTACAATAGACATGATCGACTTATTGTACAACAAACTTTTTTGTCTGTTGTAAGAGTAGGCTATTGCAAACATAAGCACAACACAAATAGGCAGTCTAAGTAACGATTTCATGTTCTATTTTCAGGAGGCAGTACATGCAGCTATTTAGACAGCATATCAAACACAAGCTAGACACAGACATGCAGTCTAAATAGCGATGTTATTTTTTTCACCATCGTTGCAAACATTTGCAAAGCAGTGGGCAGACAAGAGGTCAAAGTAGTAGTGTTCTTTTTTAGCTTCTCAGGCTACAATATGGAAGCATAACTATAAAGATGACATCATTACAAATGTACACGTGTGGTTACAACGCAGATTGTTTTGCCCCAATGCATTGTGTAGACTGCACCCCTGCTTGTGCTACGACATTATCCTTAGTTTCAACAGACAGAGAAGGTTGTAGCCTACACCCTAAATGAGCCTACAAAATGTATTTATTTTTGGAATGTTCATTGAAATAGCCGCAGGTTTGAATTCTGCTGCTCAGAAATATGAGGCAGAGACGTAGGCTACATCATCATGTCGATCAAATTGGTTGAGGTTTCAGAAGAGGGTGAGTAAAGAGAGAGATGTGAAGGGGGAGGTTGAGCAGCAGCTACAGACATTTGTTTTGCGTAAAATAATACATGCGCAGAACGTAAATCGGATCTTCAGTTCTGGGGGGGGGGGGGGACAGGGTGGCGGGGCGGTTACCTACGGATCCGCAGCCTCCGCCTAAATATAATTATCTCTCTCTGTCTCTCTCTGTGTGTTGTGTGGTTGTATGTGTGCATTCCAGGACTGGTGGCTTACGCTGACCTGGACGAGAGAGCCATCGACGCTCTGAGGGAGTTCAATGAGGAGGGAGCCCTGTCAGTGTTAATGCAGTTCAGGGAGAGTGACCTGTCACATGTGCAGGTGAGTGGTCCTGTCCACACTGTCCCTCAAGAGTAGTCATACAAAGACGCTACAAAGAGTCAAAGTGATTTACACTAAATGCAATTTGTCCTCTCTCTCTCTCAGAACAAAAGTGCATTTCTCTGTGGTGTGATGAAGACATACAGACAGCGAGAAAAGCAAGGAAGTAAAGTTCAAGAATCCACAAAGGGTCCTGATGAGACTAAGATAAAGGTGAACAAAATGTTTCTTCTTTTCCCCATAAGCTGATGTTTTAACAATGATGGACATATGGCCTAAAGGCCTCTGAATGAATGTATCTGTCGTTGATGCTGTCTAGGCTCTTCTGGAAACAACAGGTTACACTTTGGACGTCACCACAGGACAGAGGAAGTATGGGGGGCCTCCACCTGACGAGGTGTACTCAGGGGCCCAGCCTGGAATCGGAACAGAGGCAAGAAGCTCAACCTCTTTTCTATTGCCTGTCAAAGACACAGCCGTCTCATGCAGGCAATTGGCTGTTAAGGAGGTGTCCTCTCAATTTTGGGCTGTTGAAAAAATCTTTGCAACCTTATGGAAATGAATGCTAGTGTATTATGTTTCAACATTTGTAAGGTGCAATAAGTCCGATTTTTGTCCACAAATACAGGGGAAGTCGGAAGTTTACGTACACCTTAGCCAAATACATTTAAACTCAGTTTTTCACAATTCCTAACATTTAATCCTAGTAAAGATTCCCTGTTTTAGGTCAGTTAGGATCACCACTTCATTTTAAGAATGTGAAATGTCAGAATAATAGTAGAGAGAATGATTTCTTTCATCTTTTATTTCTTTCATCACATTCCCAGTGGGTCAGACGTTTACATACACTCAATTAGTATTTGGTAGCATTGTCTTTAAATTGTTTAACTTGGGTCAAACGTTTCGGGTAGCCTTCCACAAGCTTCCCACAATACGTTGGGTGAATTTTGGCCCATTCCTCCTGACAGAGCTGGTGTAACTGAGTCAGGTTTGTAGGCCTCCTTGCTCGCACATGCTTTTTCAGTTCTGCCCACAAATGTTCTATAGGATTGAGGTCAGGGCTTTGTGATGGCCACTCCAATACCTTGACTTTGTTGTCCTTAAGCCATTTTGCCACAACTTTGGAAGTATGCTTGGGGTCATTGTCCATTTGGAAGACCCATTTGCGACCAAGCTTTAACTTCCTGACGTCTTGAGATGTTGCTTCAATATATCCACATAATTTTCCTTCCTCATGATGCCATCTATTTTGTGAAGTGCACCAGTCCCTCCTGCAGCAAAGCACCCCCACAGCATGATGCTGCCACCCCGTGCTTCAAGGTTGGGATGGTGTTCTTCGGCTTGCAAGCAACTCCCTTTTTCCTCCAAACATAACGATGGTCATTATGGCCAAACAGTTCTATTTTTGTTTCATCAGACCAGAGGACATTTCTCCAAAAAGTACGATCTTTGTCCCCATGTGCAGTTGCAAACCGTAGTCTGGCTTTTTCATGGCGGTTTTGGAGCAGTGGCTTCTTCCTTGCTGAGCGGCCTTTCAGGTTATGTTGATATGGTCCTCTGTAGCTCAGCTGGTAGAGCACGGCGCTTGTAACGCCAAGGTAGTGGGTTCGATCCCCGGGACCACCCATACACAAAAATGTATGCACGCATGACTGTAAGTCGCTTTGGATAAAAGCGTCTGCTAAATGGCATATTATTATTATTATTATATAGGACTCGTTTTACTGTGGCTATAGATACTTTTGTACCTGTTTCCTCCAGCATCTTCACAAGGTCCTTTGCTGTTGTTCTAGGATTGATTTGCACTTTTCGAACCAAAGTACGCTCATCTCTAGGAGACAGAACACGTCTCCTTCCTGAGCAGTATGACGGCTGCATGGTCCCATGGTGTTTATACTTGCGTACTATTGTTTGTACAGATGAACGTGGTACCTTCAGGCATTTGGAAATTGCCCCCAGGGATGAACCACACTTGTGGAGGTCTACCATTTTCTTTCTGAGGTCTTGGCTGATTTCTTTTGATTTTCCCATGACGTCAACAAAGAGGCACTGAGTTTGAAGGTAGGCCTTGAAATACATCCACAGGTACACCTCCAATTGACTCAAATGATGTCAATTAGCCTCTAAAGCCATTACATCATTTTCTGGAATTTTCCAAGCTGTTTAAAGGCACAGTCAACTTAGTGTCTGTAAACTTCTGACCCACTGGAATTGTGATACAGTGAATTATAAGTGAAATAGTCTGCCTGTAAACAATTGTTGGAAAAATTACTTGTGTCATGCACAAAGTAGATGTCCTAACCAACTTGCCAAAACTTTAGTTTGTTAACAAGAAATTTGTGGAGTGGTTGAAAAACTAGTTTTAATGACTCCAACCTAAGTGTATATAAACTTCTGACTTCAACTGTACATGCCTTTTGTACAACTCCATAATTGATACAATCAACATCTACACCATACAATGATTTCATGGGTCACAATAAATGATACAGTGGCCATATCATCAGATGAAGCGTAGCAATAGACTAGATGAAAGACAATTTCAGGGATGAAAAATTGTCTTGTGAATCGTGTTGCTTCTTAGGCAATCCACCAAAATGCTAATGTTCGGGGACAGCATGTCTGAGATTTTAAAACATCTGGGCCTAATCTCTTTTATGACAGTAAACAGACAGTAAAAATAAATAGAGAAGAAGCAAAAATATGAATAAAATGATTAAACATCGCTCTGGTGCATTGAGTGATGTCAGTGATGGAAGCCCACTGGGCACAGACATCAGTTCAACGTCTAGTTTTGATTTACATTTTGTTGGGTTGTCAACTAATGTGAATTCAACGTGAAATCAACAAAGAAATGTCACCTTGTTTATTTGGATCCCCATTAGCTTTTGAACTTGTGTCATGCACACAGTAGATGTCCTAACCGACTTGCCAAAACTATAGTTTGTTAACAAGAAATTTGTGGAGTGGTTGAAAAACGAGTTTTAATGACTCCAACCTAAGTGTGTGTAAACTTCAGACTTCAACTGTATACCCAAATTAAAATCTATTATATGTGAATAGTTTATGGTTAGTGAATAGTGGTCCTCTGTAGCTCAGCTGGTAGAGCACGGCGCTTGTAACGCCAAGGTAGTGGGTTCGATCCCCGGGACCACCCATACACAAAAAAAATGTATGCACGCATGACTGTAAGTCGCTTTGGATAAAAGCGTCTGCTAAATGGCATATTATATTATTATTATAATGCCATAATGCAGTTCCAAACTTGCTAGAAAACGTTTGCGCTATTGGAACTAAATAAACACTGCACTTTGAACCACAACATTTTTAGTATAGGTAGACAAAGGCAGGAATGTCAACTTTACATTTTAGTCATTTAGCAGACGCTCTTATCCAGAGCGACTTACAGTTAGTGAGTGCATACATTTTTCATACTTGCCCCCCATGGGAAACGAACCCACAACCCTGGCGTTGCAAGCGCCATGCTCTACCAACTGAGCTACACGGGACTAGTGATGTAGTTTTATTGGGATTTGCAGCTGTTGTTGGTACGTAATGAATCTACAAGCTTCTGAAACATCTTACTCAGCCTTTAAAGTTATGATATTATCTAATATGCCTTTTCACAAATCGACCTCTTTAAGTTTCTAGAGAGCGCCATCTTGTCCAAGTCAAAAATGCATTGAATAAAGTCAATGCTACACAGTATGCATGTAATTTGACATTTTGATCTTATCGATGCAGGTATTTGTTGGCAAGATCCCCAGAGACCTGTATGAGGATGAGCTGGTCCCTCTGTTTGAGAAAGCTGGGCCCATTTGGGACCTGCGTCTGATGATGGACCCCCTCCTTTCGGGTCAGAACAGAGGATATGCCTTCATCACCTTCTGCAATAAAGATGCTGCCCTAGAGGCCGTCAAGCTTGTAAGATTTCCCCTTTTAATCACCACAAGTAAAGAGCATGACTTGGTCATTTACAGTGTTTGCTTCTAACCTTTTAGACAGGTTGGTCACTGTGTCTTATCATGCCAGAGTTATCTGGGAAGTGCAACTGTGCATGACTTATCTGTGTGGGGCTCAATTTTGAGAACACCTTTTGTTGATATTTTTGTTCTAGTGTGATAATTATGAAATCCGGTCGGGTAAATACCTGGGTGTCTGCATCTCTGTCGCAAACAATCGGCTGTTTGTTGGGTCAATTCCAAAGAACAAGACAAGAGAAAGCATATTGGAAGATTTCAGCAAAGTCACAGGTTAGAGAAAGATCAGTACCATTTTTGTATCATATTTCTTTGTGCCCTCAATCTAAATAATGTTTTATATTTGAAATGTTGGCTGACAAGTAAAAGGAAATTGGAGATACTTACATACTTTCAGAGATAGTTAGTTGGAGATTATTACGTTTTCTGAGAAGATCAGTGATTTGTTCCTACATGTTTTATTCATGATTGAATACCTGGGTACCACACCTAGATATAAAGACCTCAAATCAAATTGTATTTGTCACATACACGTGTTTAGCAGATGTTATTGCGGGTGTTTTGCGAAATGCTTGTGCTTCCAGCTCCTACGGTGCAGTAATATCTAACAAGTAATATCTAAAAATGTCACAACATTTACTAAATACACACAAATCTAAGTAAGGAATAGAATTAAGAATGACATATCTGCTGTTCTTTCACTGTCTTCATACTGTATATTAGTTGGTGCAGCCCTGTGTGTTCTATTCTTACCGGTGACCTCATGTCCTAGTCAATCATATGACACTCATATTATACAATCAGTGGAATGGAGGCTTTTCCTGTGATTTCTTTTTTGGACCATGCACTTCTGTGTGCTTCCACCAGAGGGCCTCGTAGAGGTGATACTCTACCACCAGCCAGACGACAAAAAGAAGAACCGTGGCTTCTGCTTTTTGGAATACGAGGACCACAAAACTGCCGCCCAGGCCCGTCGCCGCCTCATGAGTGGCAAGGTGAAGGTGTGGGGGAACCCTGTTACTGTTGAGTGGGCAGACCCAGTAGACGAACCGGACCCAGAGATTATGGCAAAGGTAAGGTCCTGAAGATCCCCCCCTCCCTCAGGCTAGTGTCTGACAACAACAAAGGGATGTTAAATCACAGATTCTAGGGTGTAGAGTAAATACCCAGATATCTTTCATGTAGAAAACATTACACTGAGAGAACTGGCCGTCCCATTCCAGAGAACAACTTCTAAACTCTCTTGTGTGGATCTTCCACCAGGTAAAGGTGCTGTTTGTGAGGAACCTGGCCACACCGGTCACAGAGGATCTTCTAGAGAAAACCTTCTCCCAGTTTGGGAAGTTGGAGCGGGTCAAGAAGCTGAAAGACTATGCCTTTGTGCACTTTGAGGACAGAGATGCTGCCGTAAAGGTGAGTACTGGCGTCTTCTAAACCTCCTTGGAGTATGCATGCTATGTGTTTGCCTTGTGCTTGTAGAGAATCTCTGGGAAATTCACTTGGGGAAACCCACCACCGTTTAGGCAATGCAACAAATGAACGGCAAAGAATTGGAAGGCGAGGAGATAGAGATTGTTCTGGCGAAGCCTCCGGACAGGAAGAGGAAAGAGCGTCAGGCCCAGAGACAGCCAACCAGGACCTCAGGGTGAGTAGAGGTCGACCGCACCTAGCCACGCCCAGTCCGCTTGGAGTGGCTGGTATGACTGTAAAATGTTTTCTTGCCTTCGGAAAGTATTCAGACCCCTTGACTTTTTCCACATTTTGTAACGTTACATCTTATTCTAAAATGGATTAAAAATAAAAAAAAATCCTCAGCAATCTACACACAATACCCCATAATGACAAAGCGAAAAAAGTTTTTTTGTAATTTTTAGAAATGTATTTCAAATAAAAAACAGAAATACCTTATTTACATAAGTATTCAGACCCTTTGCTATGAGACTCGAAATTGAGCTCAGATGCATCCTGTTTCCATTGATCATCCTTGAGATGTTTCTACAACTTGATTGGAGTCCACCTGTGGTAAATTCAATTGATTGGACATGATTTGGAAAGGCACACACCTGTCTATATAAGGTCCCACAGTTGACAGTGCATGTCAGAGCAAAAACCAAGCCATGAGGTCGAAGGAATTGTCCGTAGAGCTCCGAGACAGGATTGTGTCTAGGCGCAGATCTGGGGAAGGGTACCAAAAAATGTCTGCAGCATTGAAGGTCCCCAAGAACACAATGGCCTCCATCATTCTTAAATGTAAGAAGTTTGGAAACAACAAGACTCTTCCTAGAGCTGGCCGCTCGGGCAAATTGAGCAATCGGGGGAGAAGGGCCTTGGTCAGGGAGGTGACCAAGAACCCAATGGTCACTCTGACAGAGCTCTAGAGTTCCTCTGTGGAGATGGGAGAACCTTCCAGAAGGAGAACCATCTCTGCAGCACTCCACCAATCAGGCCTTTATGGTAGAGTGGCCAGACGGAAGCCACTCCTCAGTAAAAGGCACATGACAGCCCGCTTGGAGTTTGCCAAAAGGCACCTAATGACTCTCAGACCATGAGAAACAAGATTCTCTGGTCTGATGAAACCAAGATTGAACTCTTTGGCCTGAATGCCAAGCGTCACGTCTGGAGGAAACCTGGCACCATCTCTAAGGTGAAGCATGGTTGTGGCAGCATCATGCTGTGGGGATGTTTTTCAGCGGCAGTGTCTGGGAGACTAGTCAGGATCGAAGGAAAGATGAATGGAGCAAAGTACAGAGAGATCCTTGATGAAAACCTGCTCCAGAGCACTCAGGACCTCAGACTGGGGTGAAGGTTCACCTTCCAACAGGACAACCACCCTAAGGACACAGCCAAGACAATGCAGGAGTGGCTTCGGGACAAGTCTCTGAATGTTCTTGAGTGGCCCAGCCAGAGCCCGGACTTGAACCCGATCGAACATCTCTGGAGAGACCTGAAAATAGCTGTGCAGCGACGCTCCCCATCCAACCTGACAGAGCTTGAGAGGATCTGCAGAGAAGAATGGGAGGAACTCCCCAAATACAGGTGTGCCAAGTTTGTAGCGTCATACCCAAGGAGACGCGATGCTGTAATCTCTGCCAAAGGTGCTTCAACAAAGTACTGAGTAAAGGGTCTGAATACTTATGTAAATGTGATATTTCCGTTTGTTTATTTGTATAAATTAGTAAACATTTCTAAAAACCTATTTTTGTTTTATCATTATGGGGTGTTGTGTGTAGATTGAGGGAAAAAACAATTTAATCCATTTTAGAATAAGGATTTAGAGTAACCTAACAAAATGTGGAGAAAGTCAAGGGGTCTGAGTACTTTCCGAAGGCACTGTATGACTGTATTATGAAAATGTTTTCTGTTCTATATGACATTTATCTTATTTCCTATGTCTGTGTTTGCTTTGTTGTTGTCACAGATATGATGATTACTACTACTATCCTGCTCCTCGCATGCCACCTCCCATGCGAGGCAGGGGCCGAGGCGGGAGAGGGGGCTATGCCTACCCTCCAGACTACTACGGTTACGAGGACTACTACGATGATTACTACGGTGGTGGTTACGACTACCATGACTACCGAGGTGGCTACGACGACCCTTACTACGGGGGATACGATGATGTCTACGCGCCGAGAGGAAGGGGGGGCAGGGTGAGTCGGGGTGCCCCCCCTCCCCCTAGAGGCAGAGGAGCACCACCCCCTCGTGGCAGAGGTGGCTACGTCCAAAGGGGGGCTCCTATGGGCGTACCGAGGGGGAGCCGTGGGGGCCGGGGAGGCCCGCCCCAGCAGAGGGGCCGTGGCAGCAGAGGTGCCCGGGGGAACCGCGGGGACAACGTGGGCGGGAAGAGGAAGGCTGACGGTTACAACCAACCGGACTCCAAGCGCCGGCAGACCAACAACCAGAACTGGGGCTCCCAACCCATTGCCCAGCAACCCCTGCAACAAGGTGGCGACTACTCTGGTAACTATGGTTACAATAATGACAACCAGGAGTTTTACCAAGATTCTTATGGGCACCAATGGAAGTAGACAAAACATGAACGGATTGGGCTTTGACAGCAACCTTTGATTGGCTGTGTGTATATATCACCCTTCACATTCAAAAGAAATAGAAAAAAAATAAAAAATGAATCAACATGCATAAATAACATTACCCTTTTGGAAATATGGATTTGTTGCACTACAGTATGGAGCAAAATATGAATGTACTTACATAAGCTTGCTTAATAATTTGTGCTAATCCTTTTTTGCTTTGCTTGTGGCTACTTGGGACATTTTTTACTATTATTTTATTATTTTTTAAATTTCTGATATTTTTTATTTTTATTTTTTAAGCTGGCATTTACAGGAAAAATTGGACGATCGTAAAAAAAAAAAAAAAGAAGAGAGAAATTCTTTGAGAAAGCATTTGAAATCATGAGAATCGTTCAGTGACTGGCCACCAACCCCTTCCCAGACCCCCCTCCCCATTGGACATTTTCCCTCCCAGATTTCTGATAGGTAGGCATAGGACTTTGCTTGTACATAAAGGCTTTAAACTGAGAGCTTTATTTTCAGTTTTGTTGCAGAGGTGGGGAAAAAAGGAGAGGAAAATTGCACTTTTTCATGTACCGGAATAGTTACGTAAAAGTTATATGTTTAGCATTTGTAGAAGTAGACAAACTGTGTTTTTCTAAAACTCTTTTCTCTCAAATTTGCCCTTTTAGATAATGGGTCTGGCAAAACCTTAATCGCCAAGACAATTAGCTCTTTGATGTGTTTGTATTGATAAAAATGTTCTTGTTACATTTCAATAAAACTCAACCATACTTCATTCAATTATCAGCAATTTCAAATTCAGCCGTGTCAAGTCGTGTCATGATTAGACAAATTTTGACCTCCATGTTTGGCCTTGAATGTGAGTGATCTGAATTTTTAAATGAAAGACACACAATAACTGCTTTTATTAAGATCAAATAGTTATTTGACTGATGTTTTGCTATTCCGTTTTGGGCATCTTTACACCAAATAGTGTAAAGTGACATCACCTGGCAATTCACCCTAATGTGCTCTTTCCCCTCCATTACCCAGCAATAGAAATAGTACAGCATCTTTTTCTTCTTTTTTTTATCCTTTTGATTTCTTATTTAGCTACCCTCCCATATTTATTACAACTTAACAGTTTTATTTAGTGTTTTGTTTGTTTAAGTTTCTCCTTTTATTCCGAATTACCCCAGGTGAAGACGCGAGAACGGCAGCGCTTGAGTGAGTGAGGAACACATCTATTCTCTGCTGTGTTCTTCCCCAAAGAAGGGTGAGCCTGGTTTACCTCTTCACCGCTAAACTGGCGCTACTCTCCTCTGCTGAGGGGCCTCAGCCCACTTCACTTGTTTTGCTCATTAAAATAATGCACCAGTTTGATTACATCAGCTAGTATCTGATGTTAACTCATGTTGAAAATGACTAAATTAGTTTTCTGGTAAACACCTCTAGTAAAACAAATTGTGGTAAGGTGAATGGGAAATTCTGCTTAATACTTAGAGGTGTATGCGTGAGCACAGATAATGCAGTGGTGTGTTTACTGAGCAGAACATGGAGAATAGCTCTCTCCTCGTATGAGGACTTCAGTCACAAAGCTTCCCCAAACTAGCGCTGCCTTGCCAGAGACCAAAGACATATTGTAGGTACAGGTTATGCAGATCAGGTGTCACCTGTTGTTGAAAGTCAAAAGTTCACTGCTGTCCTTAACAAAAACGAAAAGGGGGCAGATGAAAAAGGATCAGTCTGTGTTTATACGCTGCATTAGCATATCACTTGGTTGATGAAAGTCAAAAGTTTACTGCCATCCTGAATAAGAAACTGAAAAAGACTATCCTGTGATTACATGTAACTGCTGCATTAGCCTATTTCTTTTGTTTGAGTTCACCTGAAAAGGGTGAATTAAAGACAAACATTCAACTGCGTCCTGCACTCGGGACAATCCTGCATTAAAGCCACATATTCCAAATGCTCATGTCTAAATTTGGCAAACCAAATCTGAAGATAGTGATAAATGTTTTCCTGCTCACCATTTGGAATCTGGAGAACTAATGCAATTGGAATCTTATGTCTGCTGAACGTCTCGTGGAAGGACCACACGATTGGCTAATCTGCTTGTACAGACAGATTGGATGCTGTTGCCCCATAATGGATCTTGGAAGTACATATGGACTTTATGATCACTGTTCATTGTCTCTGCTCTGGCACCCTGTCTAGGGCTTATTCAGATATACATCTATTCAAATTTGCCAAACCTAATCAGTTTAAGGGCACAGAAATGGTATGCCTTGGAGTTGAACTAACAACCCCCCAAGTCATCTGTTTATACCCTCACATTACTTCCCTGATCAGATAGCTGTCTTCTGACACACTATTGAGCTTCGAGTTCCATGCTGATTTAGTTGGACGGAATAAAGCCGTTAGCCTGCTTCTGCTGTATTATTGGAAAAATACATTTTGTTTAGAATAGGACTGCTTGTCTAGTGTATCATAATGTTGGAGGTTAGTGAATAGTGATATTTGATGTGTTAGTATTTTCAATACAATGGCATTTGGTATGAGTTTTTTTTCCTCCTAATACAGTTGATGGTCGACTTTTATAAGAGAGCCAACTATGATAATATAATAACATTTTGTTCATTATTTATATTTGCTTGAATGTTCAAAAATCAAATGTATAATATATTATATAATACATTGATTCTAATTGATTATCCAGCTTGCATCCCTCCAGGCCAGAGACTCACGTCCTCTGACTCACAGCTAGCAGTCATGTTCATCCCTAATACATTTCAAAAGTCAAATGTAAAGGCAGCTAAGTATCTGACCGTATACCGTACCCAATCCCAGAGTAAATCCTGTTGCTGTAGCTATTGGTGTTTGATTCAACTGTGAGGCAATCGATTAGACATGCTTATTTATTTATCTTTTCAATGGAGATCTCAGGCTGCTCTCAGTTCCTTCCTGAGTCATATCCTGGAGTGGGCTCTGAATTTTGACTCAGTGTTATTTCTGTCATATCAGCCCTCCACCGTTCCACATTGTATCGTTTTGTCCCGTGTCCTAATGTGCATCTGCACAAGTGCTATCTTATGCTACAAGTAATACATGATGGTTCCTGCACACGTATGGCCCCAGGCATCTTTATGTCCAATTTGTATACATATATATTGTTTCACATGTATTTTGCCCTCTTATCTCTTGTATGTTACAAACACCTTTAATGCCATGGAACTGCAATGTAAGATTTTGAGAGTTGTCTTGTTGATGCTGTGTGTGACTATGACATGGAAGTCCTATGTAAATTCATCAAACTTTGGCTCACACAAGCACCCTTATCCCTGAATAAGGATCTGAATGTTGCTAATTTGCTTGAAATTAATTGAAAAACACTGGATAACATCATATACAGAACATTTATTTTATGCTCAATTTGCAATGCAATGCGATTTTGCAATTAGAACCAAATGATCACTGAACCAGAAGCCAAATACAATCGATTATTACCATGCTACAAACGATTCAACAACCAAACGGTGCCAAAGCACTAGCTACACCCAACTTTACAAATTCACGACCAAAACCGTTTTAATTCTCAACCCTGTGGTTCCCAAAAACAAAAAGGAATCAACAAAAGAATCTGATTAATTTCAGATGACTTCCAAGAGGAGTAATGTAAGTACTTCTCTATCGTATTTTAACTCCTTGCTTTTGTCACCTGGCTTATCTATCAGGGTGCGTGTCCGAGGTGGCCCCGACCCAGTCTTGTCACGATGTGGACTTGCTAGGTGGGGCTCGCAGTCAGAGGCAGCTGTAAGGACTACAGGGTAAGTTTAGGATGTTTTCTTCCCAAACCATTGTTCTCTTTCACTGTCTTTCTCTCCCTCTGATTCAGGTCTCACCAAATCGATGTGGGGATTAAGATGCGGAAAGCAAACGTCAGTGTCTGGGTGAGTTTAGGTAGAGAGAAAAGTACTGTATACCTCAACACGCAGTAGAGAAGTTAACTTTGGAGTTGGGAGAAAGTTTGAGTTACTTGGAGAAAGAATACAGTATATGATTCAGAATACCAAAAATAGTTATTTCTGTTATGTTCATTATCAAAAGCCTTAGTTTACAGAAACTTACTCTAAACACTGCTTTTATCAAGTGTAATGTATCGTAAGGATTGGCAAAAATTGCTGCCTGAGGCAATTGCCTTTTAGAAGTGAAAACAAGAGTTCTGTCTCTAGTCTAAAACACTACATACCCCATTATAAATGTGTTAGGTTTGAGCCTGAAGCTCTTTGAGCTTACTCCAATTGCATATCAGCTCCCAATGTTGGAGTTTTTACTTTTTTCTCTCTGGAATTCAATTTGTTGCTCTATGATTCTCTGGAATTCAATTTGTTGCTCTATGATTCTCTGGAATTCAATTTGTTGCTCTATGATTCTCTGGAATTCAATTTGTTGCTCTATGATTCTCTGGAATTAAATTTGTTGCTCTATGATTCTCTGAAATGCAATTTGTTGCTCTATGATTTGTAAGAAAATCCACGTCAATGCCTAGTAGCTAATTGAAGATTTATCAATATAACTTCACTTGGCCACTTATGGAGTTGAGAGAAAAAAAATATTTATTTTGCTGTCAAATTCATAGCTCCATTTATATCATAGTAGCTGTAGGCATTTTCCTTTTTACTGCCCTAAAATGTTTCACATTCAAAAAACCACCCAGTGGGCAAAACCTGGTTGAAAAGACGTCAGTATGACGTCTTTTTATGACGTCTTATTCTGGTCTCAAACTGGTTGAAAATGACTTTGTTTTTTTGTACATCTTTTTACTGACCAGAATATGACATATTTTTTCTGACCACCATATGACCAGTTGGCCATAATTGTGACCTCTATATTATGTGTTATATTATGTACTGGTCATAGTTAAGACCTCATCATAACCTGGTAATGACCACCTGACTACAGCTTATTACCTACTGTAAAAAGTATTGCAGAGGATAAAGTTGGAAGTTGAAAATGTTGCTCGTTACATTTCTATTTGTTTCCATAGGCACCAATTAAAGTTAAAATCTGTAACATATTCTTACATTTTAAAATAGATCAAGCAATGGCAGAAACAAATCTACATCACAATTTTTTGCACATCTGCATACAGTAATTGTTTCATAATTCACCCACAGATATTATGTGCATAGAAAGACTGGGACACAGAGTATATAAAGGCCCATTGTTTTATTATATTCATGATTAATAAGAGTGGTGTGATGGGGTAGATCCTCATCAAGGATCTCTGAGCACAGAAGGCGATCTGGAGTGTAGTGGCCCTCTTGAAGAGTGGTGTGATGGATCAGATCTGGAGTGTAGTGGCCCTCTTGAAGAGTGGTGTGATGGATCAGATCTGGAGTGTAGTGGCCCTCTTGAAGAGTGGTGTGATGGATCAGATCTGGAGTGTAGTGGCCCTCTTGAAGAGTGGTGTGATGGGTCAGATCTGGAGTGTAGTGGCCCTCTTGAAGAGTGGTGTGATGGATCAGATCTGGAGTGTAGTGGCCCTCTTGAAGAGTGGTGTGATGGATCAGATCTGGAGTGTAGTGGCCCTCTTGAAGAGTGGTGTGATGGATCAGATCTGGAGTGTAGTGGCCCTCTTGAAGAGTGGTGTGATGGATCAGATCTGGAGTGTAGTGGCCCTCTTGAAGAGTGGTGTGATGGATCAGATCTGGAGTGTAGTGGCCCTCTTGAAGAGTGGTGTGATGGGTCAGATCTGCAGTGAAGAGAATCAGCGCATTACAACTTTTTACATTTGAGATTTTAAAAGAAAACTAGACCTGACCACCACGGCGGTCAGGGGCATATTTTAGGACTTTCCAGAGGGCCCGCAACACATCAACCTCCTGAGTTTTCTGGCTTTTCATGACACTTACTGTAAGCATAAAAAGAGAAGAAATTAAATTAACGATTGGCATAATGTGGACATGCAGGACACCACAGAACAGTAATGCACAGTATAATACTGTATATTTAACAGTCGGAATCTACAAAAAATGTCTCATTGTCTATGTCAATTGTCTCAACTGCTCACATTTAACTTAGAAACTACACTGGATTGCACGTGAGTGGTAGCAAAGACATTTGCTCCTCTGTCCACATTGAAGATCAGATTACACTCTTAGAAAAAAAGGCTTCCAAAAGGGTTCTTCGGCTGTCCTCATAGGAGAACCCTTTTTGTTGCCAGGTAGAACCCTTTTGGGTTCCATGTAGAACCCTCAGTGGAAAGGGTTCTACATGGAACACAAAAGGGTTCTACCTGGAACCAAAAATAGTTATTCAAAGAGTTCTCCTATGGGGACAACCGAAGAACCCTTTTAGGTTCTCAATAGCACCTTTTTTTCTAAGTGTGTATCATAGTCAATGGCTATGGATTTATGGAGGGGTGGTTCTGCTCTCTCCTTTCCTTGGGATGTGGCAGAATAGGTGACTGGTAACTGAGTGGGTGGCCAAGCACTGCAGTAGAGGCCATGCATAAGGTCACTGACATGTTTCAGGAACTGTAAAGAGAGATGAATCATGATTAACCATTACCAAAGGTCTTCACTAAGTTACCTGCCAAATAAAAACTTCAAATGGCCCTACTACTGAAAAAGTTAATCGGGCTGGATAAGCTGAAGTGGACTTCAGCCCGAGTACCATTAGCCGGAGACCAGAGTAATATGATTCTACCGGAATCGGGAAGTGCTCGGCCCGCATGAAGCTCCCCGAGTCTGAGTCCGAGTCCATTTCAAGTCCCCTGAGTCTCAAACGGAATAGGCCGAGCCCAGCGTGTTGACTGGGTACAGTATGCCACGAGACCCTAACCCAATTTGGTGCACTCTGCCAGATGTTGTTTGCCAACTGTGCTAAGCTGAATCATGCAAACCCTGCTGAAAAAAAACATTACTCCAATTTTAATAATTGTAATGGTTCTAGTGTCTTATATCCAATGGGTGCATGGCAGGGTTTCCCTTAAGAAAATGTGGCGCTGGACATTTGACCGGCAGCATTTTAATTTACTGGACATTTTGAGAAATTTACCGGACCCATATGCATTGGGTTCGTAACCTGATTAGGGCGTCCACCCACGGTGCTCAGAATTACAGAAATCACATTTAGATTATGGTAATTCATATCAACAGAACATGCAAGTCAAGGATGCAACAATGTGCGGTCCTTCTTACCGAAATCTGATGCGCATTTTGAAGATGTTAGAATAAATGTCCACAGTTACTTTTCCCAGCCAACAAGATGAGTAACGACCAGCAAAATCACTAGCCTATGTCAATCCCCATAGTAGAAAAGTTTCCTATTCTATTGGTCAGCTTGTCGAGAAAGAAATAGCCCATTCCAAACAGACTCTGGGACAGTTGTGGGACGATATATCCCAAATTCATACAACCAATAGGCCTAGGCAAAACAATTAAGAATAATTTTAAAGCAATGATTCTGACGCACCAGATCAGAACGTTTAGCTTAAAATGTTGATAAAATATAATTTCTTCACATTATAATCGCAGCAATGCGCACATGGCAGTAGGCTACGTGTGAATGTTCGTTCCATAATGCAATTTTACGGAAAACAACATTGTCAGGTTTCAAACAATTAAGTATATGTTTTAGAAATGCATACTGCCTCCAGCTCATTGCAAAGTGGTGTGCGACACGCTGATGAAGCCTGCCTTCCGTTGCCTATGCATTTGCTGTTTGAGATGCTGTAGCAGCAGCTCTCGCGCTGTCTTGACAGATTTTCCGCTCAAAGCCTCTGTATCTGTATGCTTTACTCGTGATAAATAAGATACATAACGAATATACTGTACACGCGCCAATTTAATTAGCAAAAAATATGCTAAGTAACCTATAGACCGATAAGCATGACCTGTCAAATGTGTTTCAATCGACTGGTATTTCCATCAATGAATAGGCTAAAAAGCATTATTTTGCAATGGGATTTTTTCTTCTTCTGGACAATTGGCCGGCACCAATTGTATTTATCGGCTTTTAGATTTTTTATCAGCCCAAAAGCTATTACCGGCTAACGGAAGCCCTGGTGCATGGCCCACAAACACTATGCACATGTTTATATTAATTGAGTAGCATTTAGGTAACTGGTCAGTAGTTCAATCAAATTTTAACTAAAAACAAGACATCAACCAAAAAAAATAAAAAAAGACGTCTTAATCTGGTTGTAATCTGGGTATAAAACATCCCGATCAGATTTCAACCAGAAAAAATATGTCATTATCATGTCGTATGCCCACTGGGTAAATTTGTTTTTGCCACGTTTATTCTATTACAGACACCTTAATGCATACTTTTAAATGATATTTTGTGAGCTAAACATATTTAAAAAATATATAAAACCATTACTTAGTGTAATTTGTTGAAAGTTCTAATGTTATTGTCCCCACTACAACAGAAAAATGCTTCAATACAGGTAATTTTGTCCTTTAAACATTTAGATACTGTAGAATTCCATTCATTCCTATGGAGGACTGCTCCTTCTGGGGAGTGCCAATATGGCCGACCGGTGGCATCAAAGCCTCTCACTGGCCAATACATAGAATTAACAATCTAGGGTTTATATACAACCCCCTAAACCTGGGCAGGATCCAGACTAAAATATGCAACAAAAATATTGTTTTGATGAAGGCAAATAGCATATTCATTAGTCTATTACTTTGTTTAATGTTTAACAGAAGCCTGCCCATCATATCAAGTTTAAGCTCACAAATCAAACACAGAGCATGTAATGGTTAAAAAAATGTGTTGTCCAGTGTGCTACTGGCTCTAGTATGCTACTGGCTCGAGTATGCTAGCTAGCCTGTGTGTTTACAGTTGAATTAATTTGTCATGAGAAAAAGGCTTGTGGAAAAAATAACTCCCTTGCATAGTTTTACCATTTCACCACCAGGGGGTGCTGCCGTACCCCTACTTCCCACGGCTATGCATGCATGGCATTTGTGCATGAAATTCAGATTATTATGTTTGTGCCATTATCAGCTTTAATTACTTTAATTACATTTCAATTATGACTTGCATGGTTTGCATGAATCCAATTGCATTAATAAAAGCTATTTAAATGTACAGCAGTACTTACAGTATATAGGATGAGCCATTACTACAATACAGTATATACATAAGAAGTGGGTAAAACAGTATGTAAACATTATTAAAGTGACCAGTGTTCAATGGCTCTATGTACATAGGGCAGCAGTCTCTAAGGTGCAGGGTAGAGTACGAGGGTGGTAGCCGGCTAGAACAGTGACCAATGCTAGTGGTGACAGTTTTTAACAGTCTCTTGGTCCCTGCTTTGATGCACCTGTACTGTCTCCGCCTTCTAGATGGTAGTGGGGTGAACATGCCGTAGGTCGGATGGCTGAGGTCCTTGATGATCTTCTTGGCCTTCCTGTGACACCAGGTGCTGTAGGTGTCCTGGAGGGCAGGCAGTGTGCCCCCGGTGATGCGTTGGGCTGACCGCACCGCCCTCTGGAGAACTCTGCGGTTGCGGACAGTGCAATTACTGTACCAGGCAGTGATACAGCCCAACAGGATGCTCTCAATGGTGCATCTGTTGAAGATCGTCAGGGTCTTAGGGGCCAGGCCGAATTTCTTCAGCCTCCTGAGGTTGAAGAGACGCTGTTGCGCCTTCTTCACCACGCTGTCTGTGAAGGGACTATTTTAGGTTGTCAGTGATGTGCACGCAAAGGATCTTAACGTTTTTGACCCTTTCCACTGCAGCCCCATTGATGTGGATGGGGGCATGCTCTCTCTGCTGGCTCCTCCAGCTCCTTCGTTTTATTGACGCTGAGGGAGAGTTTTTTTTTTACTCCGCTCTCTCCTCCCTGTAGGCTGTCTCATCGTTGTTGGTAATCAGGCCTACCACTGTTGTGTCGTCAGCAAACTTGATGATTGAGTTGGAGATGTGTGTGGCCACCCAGTCATGAACAGGAAGTACAGGAGGGGGCTGAGCACGCACCACTTTGGGGCCCCCTTGTTGAGGGTCAGCGTGGCGGTGGTGTTGTTGCCTACCTTCACCACTTGGGGTCCAGGACCCAGTTGCACAGGGAGGGGTTCAAACCCAGGGCCCTGAGCTTAGTGATGAGCTTGGAGGGTACTATGGTGTTGAAGGCTGAGCTATAGTCAATGAACCGCATTCTTACATAGGTATTCCTCTTGTCTAGGTAGGATAGGGCAGTTTGCAGTGCCAAGGCATTTGCGTTGTCCGTGGATCTGTTGGGGCGATATGCGAATTGTAGTGGGTCTAGGGTGTCGGGTAAGGTGAAGCTGATATGGTCCTTCACTAGCCTCTCAAAGCACTTCATGATGACAGAAGTGAGTGCTACGGGGCAATAGTCATTTAGTTCAGTAACCTTCACTTTCTTGGGTACAGGAACAATGGTGGACTTCTTGAAGCAAGTGCGGACAACATACTGGGATATGGAGCGATTGAATATGTCCGTAAACACTCCAGCCAGCTGGTCTACACATGCTCTGAGGACGCGGCTTGCGAGGGTTAGCACGCTTAAATGACTTACTCACGTTGGCCACGGAGGACGAAAGCACACAGTCCTTGTGAGCGTCGGGGTCCCGCGTCGGTGGCTCGATGTTGTTTTCCTCGAGGTGGGCGAAGAAGGTGTTTAGCTTGTCCAGGAGCGAGGCGTCGGAGTCCGCGACGTGGCTGGCTTTCCCTTTATAATCAGTGATTGTATGGAGTCCCTGCCACATATGTCTCGTGTCTGAGCTGTTGAATTGGGACTCCACTTTGTCCCTGTGCTGTAGTTTTGCCTCTTTGATTGCCTTACGGAGGTCATAGTTGGTCTGTTTGCACACGTCCATGTTCCCAGTCATCCTTCCATGGTTAAAGGTCATGAACAGTCAAAAT